ATTGAAACCTCCCCAATTGAAACCTGCAAGTGAAAAGCCTCTACATGTCATTTAAACCAAGTTATAAGACTATTACAATGGAGCTGTATTTTTCTCAGTGTACATTTATGGATAACTTCACACCCGTTTATTTTGGTTAAAATGAAAAAATAAACAAGTAATTCAATCAAATAGACCTTTAAATCAAAATTTCGGAGGATATACAGGAATTTTTAATATAAGTCACTATAGAGTATTTGAAAACGATTTGTAAAAAAATTTTGTTTTTCAGGCACCGGCAAATGTCAAAAAACAAGAAAATAAAGTGTTTTTTAAGGTTATTCAAAAGAGGTAGGTGCTATAAAAAAAAGTTCTTAATAAAAATTGTAAAGCATAAAATTTTACATAAAAATGATATTTGATATTATTAAAACTAACAGAGTTAGGGTGGTTAGAAATTAAGAGGAGATATATATGACTTGGAAAAATCATAGCGAGCTAAAAATTCAATGATTTTGTAGTTTCTTTTTATTATTTACTCAGAAAATTATAAATATCTTTTAAGAAAAAATTTTTTTTTGTTTTTTTAAATTATAACAATTTTAATTTAGAAATTTTCAATATATTATACGAATTTATATGGTAAAATAAATTTTGAAGTAAACTTATTAACTTAATTGACAAGAAAAATATAAGGAGTGAACTAATAAAAACGACATCCCGACAGTTTGGTCCCCACTTAAAGTTCCATTAAATAAATAAAAATATTAAAAAATAAATAAAAATAAAGATAAAAATAGGTAATTTAAAAAATATATAAATAAAAATAAATAAAAAAAAAAAATAAAAAAAAGTAAAAAAAAGTAAAAATAAGTAAAAATAAATAAAAATAAGTAAAAATAATTAAAACTAAAAAATAAATAAATAAAAACAAATAAAAATAATTTAAAAAATAAACAAAAAATTTAAATAAACAAAAATAATAAATAGTTAAAAAAAAATAAAAAAAAATTAAATAAATAAAAATAATAACACTAAGTTAAAAAAATTAAGTAAAATTAAACAAAAATAAATGAAAAGAATAAATAATTACAAATAGATAAATAAAAATAAATAAAAACAAATAAAAAAGTAAATAAAAAGAAATTAAAATGAATAAAAATAAAATAAAAATATTAATTTTTATTTATTTATTTCTAAAAATAAAATGACAAATATTAAAAAAAATAGGTAAATTATTAAAAATAGAAATTAATAAAAATAAAAAAATAAATAAAAATAAAAATGAATAAAAAAAATATTCGTTTTAATTAATTTGTATTTATTTTTATTTTTGTTTTCATTCATTTTTACTTTCCTATCTGTATACAGATATAAGGAAAGTATAGGAATCATGATTTTTTTCGACCTCGAGTTTTCGACGGATTTTTACGATTTGAGGTCCCCTGAATCCGTTTTGACTATTTTCGCGATGATGTCTGTGTGTCTGTATGTCGCATAACTCATGAACCGATACACAGAGAAACACCAAATTTTAAACTTAAGCTTTGTTCCAGCGTCCAGTGAGCTGATTAGAATTTGGACAGAGTCGGAACATCTGGGGGGGTACTTTATGGGAGGCCGTTTTTATATTTTATGGAATATATGTTATTTACGTTTGGAGAAGAAAATTCTTCAAATAAAAGTTACTTCTTATATTATTATCTATAATATTTGTTCTATACAAAATTTTCCTAAAATGGTCCGTATTCGAGAAATTTGACAAAATGTAAAAAAATATTTTTTTTTATAAAAATTGTTAAAACAAAAGTTGTTTTTAATATAATTCTCTATAATTTTTATTCCATACATAATTTCTCTAAAATGGACCTTATTCGATATTTGAGAAAATGTGTAAATTTCGAAATTTGAACAAAACTCAAAAACGGATAAAGAAAAAAACATTAAATTTTAAAATTAAGTTTTATTTCGGCCTGACGTGAAATGATTAGATTTTGGACGAAGGCGGAACATTTGGGGGGGGGGGGTACTTTATGGGAGGCCGTTTTTATATTTTATGGAATATATGTTATTTATGTTTGGAGAAGAAAATTGTTCAAATAAAAGTTACTTCTAATATTATTATCTATAATTTTTGCCTTATGTAAAAATTTCCTGAAATGGTCCGTATTCAAGAAATTTGACAAAATGTGCAAAATTCTGATTTTTATGAAAATTGTGGAAATAAAAGTTGTTTGCGATATCGATCTCTATATTTTTTTTTATACATTATTTTTCTAAAATGGACCGTAATGGAAAAATTGTAGGAAACGTGCTAAATTGATTTTCGTTTTCAATGAATATCTATAGAAAAATGTTTCGAGGTAGATGTATGTGGAAAATGAATATATTTAGTTTATCCTCTAAACATTTGTAGATGTGCTGCAATAGGTTGTACAAAATAACCGGAAAAAGCCTGTAATAACTAGATAGGAAAGTCATGTGTTGGACACATCAGATTTTTATTTATTTTTTCATTAATTTTTATTTATTTTCTTTTAAACTTATTTTTTATTTTTAATCATTTACCGAATTTTTTATTTTTTTTTTAAATTTTTATTTATTTATTTTTTAGTTTTTATTTGATTTTATTTATTTTTTAGTTTTAATTATTTTATTTATTTTCTTTTACATTTCTTTTTATTTATTTTTATTAATTTCTATTTTTAATAATTTACCTATTTTTTTTTTAATATTTGTCATTTTATTTTTAGAAATAAATAAATTAATATTTTTTTATTTTTATTTACTTTTTTATTTATTTTTATTTAACTATTTGTAATTATTTATTCTTTTCATTTATTTTTGTTTAATTTTATTTATTTTTTATTTCCTATTTTTAATAATTTACCTAATTGTACAAAATTTTTTTAACTTATTTAAATTTTTTTTTTTTTTTTAATTATTTTTATTTATTTTTTAGTTTTAATTATTTTTACTAATTTTTATTTGTTTTTATTTATTTTTAATTTTTTATTTTTGTTTAATTTTATTTATATATTTATTTTTATTTACATATTCTTATATATTTTTTTAATTTCCCTATTTTTATTTATTTAATGGAACTTCAAGTGGGGACCACTGTGGGGATGTCGTTTTTTTAGTTCACTCCTAATATTTTTCATGTCAGTCAAGCTAATAAGTTTACTTCAAAATTTATTTTACCATATAAATTCGTACAATACAGGGTGGCTCACGCTCAACGGGACGGAGCTTTATGGGAAAACGACCATAGATATAAAAAATTCGTTTGGGAGGAATACGTAGGTTACAGACGACTACAATTTAAAATTTGTTAGATGTATACAGGATGTCCCACATAAGAAAAAAAATTAGTTCATTAAAAATTATTCAAACAAGAGTAAACAATTAATTTCTGGGAGACTTTTTTCCTTAAAAATTCAAATAAATCGAAAACTAATAATAATAGTAATAGGGAACCTTTAGTTAACTGACATTATTTTTGATGTAGTTTTTAATTCTAAAATAAAAAACAGGGTGTTCCATTAAAAATAATATAACTTTGTATATTTTCTCTTATGTGGGACATCCTGTATACATCTAACAAATTTTAAATTGTAGCCGTCTGTAACCTACGTATTCCTCCCAAACGAATTTTTTATATCTTTGGTCGTTTTCCCATAAAGCTCCGTCCCGTTGAGCGTGAGCCACCCTGTATATCTCCTCTTAATTTCTAACCACTCTAACTCTGTCAGTTTTAATAATAGCAAAAAATGTCAAATATCATTTTTATGTAAAACTTTGTGCTTTACAATTTTTATTAAGAACTTTTTTTTATAGCACCTTAAACCTTAAAAAACACTTTCTTGTTTTTTGACATTTGCTGGTGCCTAAAAAACAATTTTTTTTTTTACATATCGTTTTCAAATACTCTATAGTGACTTATATCAAATATCCCAATAAATAGGAGAATTCTCTTTAAAAAATAAGAGAAGTCAGTAAGCAAAGAGGATATAAAACAACTTTTTATCTAAATGGTACAATTTTCCTCAAAAAAAAATTATAGGGATCAAACAATGAAAATTAGTTCAGAATATGATTTCCAATAAAGTGCAATAAAGGTATCCCAATGGACTTGAATGACATTTTAGATGATATACATGTGATAACTTGTGCCAAATAAATTACTGTGTGCATAACATTAACATGATTCATGTAAAAATACAAACTTTGATACATTTTTAGTTTTCCTAGAGGCATTAGTTAAAATATTTTGACCTTAAAATAATGGTCAGAAACACAGGTTACCTACATAAGGGACTTTCAACATACCAGGGTACAAAATATGTTTTACTGAAAGTACATTGAATCGATGTGATGATGATAAGCAGAGTTATCACATTGAAGATCCAGTAATCCAAGAAAACACACTAAAATTAATTTATCTTGACACATTTCTGGCAAAAGATAAATGAAACTTCTACCATGGAAGAATTGATTTTAAATATGGAGAGAGCAATTCAAAAGACAGTTACTGACCAAAATAAAACCTATATATAGAGAGGCTACCAATGACTATCAATGTAAAACAGACATTAAATGCATCAATAGCGAATTGGAAGTAAAACTAAATGATAAGTAGACAATTGAAAATGAATTTATTTTAGCAATATTGGAAAAAAAATTAGCAAGTAAATTAAAATATCTCCAAATAGAATTAAAATAAAAAGGGATAAATTACAAATATTTATTTGTCAATTTAAATAATGTTTTATTCGCTAAAAAACAAGCAAAGCAGGCCTCAAAGTTTGATCTTACCACCACAATATGATAAAATAAATTGTTTTAAACATTCTGTATTAAAACATTATTAGCTGCAAGAATTATTTGAACCGTTTAATAACTATCATTTCTCAAATATTATTTAATATTAAGACATAAAACTAGTTACTCTGTGACTCATTAGCTGATTTGTAAGAACCAGTATTTTTTATGTATTTGAAGCTATGCAGCTAGTTTACCTTTTTACATGCTCGAACAATTTTCTTCAGGTCATATTCTTTTGATAGTCCTTGAACAGTAGTCAGAGTTTTACGACCATTACGTTGTTGTATTCTTATATGAACGAGTCCGTCTTGTACATCATCGTCTGCACCCTTACTTGCATCAGCAAAGGGGTCTATGGAAGAATATTTAAAACAATTATTTTATCAATGAAATAATAATTTTTCAGATAAACGTAAAGACAAAGGGGAAAAAGCAATTTTTTTGGTTAAACGTCATAATACACGAAATTTTAAGAAAATGTGTCATCGCTAACATTAGCCGCCATTTTGTCTTTAAGAATTTTTTTTTACCGTTTTGAAAGCTCTAAGAAATTGAATACTTACCAAATGTGTTTAGATTCTGGATGGACATACGATATTCAAGAAATACTCTGGAAAATAAAAATTACTGCAAACTGCACTGATTTTATAACAAATTAGTAATTTCTAACTTCTTTTATGTCCTTCTTCACGCGCAGCAAATTTAACAGATCAAATGACTCAACTGAAAAAGAACGGTGATCACGGATCGAATGATGACGCCACACAACAGGTGGACAACGGTATAAACGTAAATTTTAAACGGAATAATTTTTAAACGAAAAATTTATGCCAGTAGTAAAAAATTATTAAGCGAATAATAATTTGACATTACCTGTTCTGGTAAATCAAATTTTCAAACAAAATAACGTCGCACTTGGGTTTTTCCGAAAATGTTTTGTATAATCGGTTGAAAGTTATATGACAGTTGGCTAGCCTGTATTGTTCGAAAGATAGACAACGTTGCCAAATGGTTTTTTTTACTTTGAGCTTAGAACACAAGAATAAAGAATAACCAGAAGGATATCTCTCATTTAATTCCTTTGTTGTTGATACCGACGAGCTATGATCTCGTCTTTTACAGCCATATGCACCATTCTTCTGTTAATAGTTATCAGAGTTAACTACATAACTGACTGTTAAATTGACAATTTTGTATTCACCATTAAAAAATATAACAATCTGTTAAAGGCGTTGTTAATGTAACAATCCAAATTTGGCCTGTTCATTTTACTTATCAGATTGTTTTAATTTTGCTTGTTTATTTTGAAGGGCCTAGATAAGGTTTTATAAGATATGGACAGTAATATATACGTAACAGACTGATTTCTAACTGAAAATGGTAAATAAATAGTGCATAGCAAATTCTGTTAACACACTGTTATTTTTCATACTACTGTTAGATAACAGAGGACTTAACTGGACAATGGTGCATAGGGACCGTGCGTGAAATATATATACTGCCGAAGTTAGCCCCCTCTCTAGTGTTTAATTTTAGAATTAAATGGGGTAAACATTGCAAGTAAATAATAAAGGATATTTTTTTAAATATTAAATATAGTTAAAAATAGATACCGGCCCGTACCAAACAATCGTGTACATGGTCAAAATGACGTAAAATGTGAAACATAATTAAAAGCTGGACATGTATATACATTTTAAGCAAAAAGATTTAAATGGCTAAGTGACAATAAATTGTAAAGTTGTACCTTAAACAAGTGTATCAATCGTCAAAATATCGGTATTTAGTAACACTGAATTTAAAAGTATTACAATAACATTTAAAAAATGTAAAATAATAAAAAAGATTGATAATAATAATAAATCTTTTTAGCTATAGTCGTTTTCCTTTGACGTATGGTTCTGGTTATGGTTGACGTTAAATTGACAGTATTTTTGACAGCGGTTCAGATTTTGGTTCATATGGATGACGTCATAACAAAAGCCAATGGAATGAATTGGGTTATTGGTTCGGTCAGTCATATGTCATTTTGGTGTAAATTTAAATACCACGTGTGACTTATTTTTAAAGTTATTTCTCAATTTTATTTTCTTTTAATTTTTTGTGTAGTTAGTTATTTGCCAAAGAAAACACTAAAGCTATATGATATAGAAGAAAAAATATTAACTAACTTAAGTCTTTAATATAAAAATAAAATATAAATAAAATAGACACTACCGACAGGGCAATTAACAGACGAAAATAATAGGTACTAACTAATTTAAAACTCTTTAAAATAAAATAGAAATAAAACCGACACTACCGACAAAGCATTTAACGAACGATGCAGACCTTTTTCTAGCGATAAACAGAATGATAATCTTCTTTTGAAAAGTAGTGGCACATTTTTTGAATCTCATTTCAGTCCAAGATTTAATCTTAATGGTGTTAAAATAAACACACACACACACACACACACGTCCTTGAAAATTTCATCTCAAATACTAAACATTTCTAGGAAGTTTTGTCGATCACTACATATTTTACTTTTATTAACATTATTGTCTAAGTTCTTTTTTCCTTATTCATATTTATAAGAAAAGTGTCTAGTAAGATCTATTTTCTTAGTTGACCTCGTACGGAACTATTTAGGTTCCGCGGGAAAACTAAATTTAAAAAATTAGACAATGAGAAGAATACTATTTAAATAAGGATAGAACATACCGCAAATTAGAACCGACTCGCGAGGCTGGTTCAAAAATGTTAACCAAATGGTTATAAGTGACGTCAGTTTATGAAAGGAATATGGTTGGTTCTAATTTGGTTAACTAGAACCGGAACCAAACCCCAAAGGAAAATGCATAATATGTTAGTCGAAATGTCATTCATCCACTGACGTTTATGAGATGTCCAATGATACATATTATAGATTGCTCATCCATCTATAAAAAAATTATGAAAAGAGGGTTGCAATGTGCCTTTCCTAGTGCTCACTAAATAGAGCCGTTCTAGCCCAAATGTGTTTTAAAATAAAATTTTAGCATTTTAATCTTTAGAAAAAGAAAATAATTAAAGTTTTACTTCAAGACATGTTATTATTATGTATTTGGAAAGTTGAGTTTCCATATAGTTAAATAATATTAAGAGATCTAAACAATTTTTATAACAGATGGATATAAATAATTTTTTCTACGTTCATGCAAAAAACAAAACCTTACTGAACTATATTTAACGAAAAAAAACTGGGTCTTTATTGCACTAGTGCAATAAAAATTTTATTGCACTCATCTGTCATTTTACTACAGCGTTTTATGATCATGACAAATATAAATATTCAAATCAACGCCAAATATTTAGTCCATTTTCATTTTCTGTGTTACGTTTTAAAAACAATTGCATATTTTATATTATTTTCAATCATTTAATAAATAAATTAATAAAAAAATGTATTTTATTAAAAATGTCATTACAAATTATGAACACAAACGTAAATAAATGCCTCAAACAAAGGTACACGATCACGGCTACTATGATTTGGATAATACAACTGCAGTCATATAAAACATTTTTTGGTTTTTGCATGAACGTAGAAAAAATATTGTATGCAACTATTAGACTACTTTCATTTCAGAAATAATACTACATAAAATACATAATTGCAATATGTAATACAATTTTGAAAAGGTATTGTAAACAACTTTGAGATGAGGTATAAACAACTTTGGTAAGAGTTGTAATTGGACACATCTATTATTCTGAATAATGTTTAATGGTAATGTCACTAAAAAAAAATTACAAAAAATCACTGGATTTTTAATATTTTAAAGTTGGTTGCAATCTCTTTTGACAGTAATTGCAATGTATTATTTATTATTTGTTTATTTTAATAATAAATGAGAAATAGTTAATAAATTGTAAAGAGGGCCATGATATTTTTGTCAAATTGGATATTCTTATTTCATAATAAACATTCTACATTAGCTTTAAACAATAGAATAAACCATTAATTATCTGTAAAATTATATTTATATAAAATGTTCATTTAAATATGTAAAAATCTTAATGACAAGAAAACACTAAAGATTCTAATTTCTAAACCGGTTCTGTAAATGATTTCTTTACAACTAAGTGCTCAAAATTGATACAAGCTAGATAAACAGAAAACTTTGCCCAGCGAAATACGCTTTTCGTCGTCTGATTTACATATGGATAAGCAATCTTTGTAATTATGTATATCATTGGGTGTGAGACATTAATAAAATTGTTGTGCTCTGTGGAAATTTATAAAATTTCTTTACTATCGAATGAAATCCAGGTTTCCAAAGTAATGTGTTTGTACATCCACGGATGCAACAAGTTTTTTCGATAATGATATTACGAAAATAATTCGACTTTATTTAATTAATAATTATTAAACAATAAATGCCGTATAAAACAATAATAAATACCACCCATAAAGTTCACATTTTTGTCACCAGTTAGAGTTAAAGTCATGACGCACGGTCCCTATATGGCCGTAGTTATTACTTGTATTCCATAGGCGCACCGAAAGATATATACAGTGAGCACCATAAGTCTTACCCCCCCTATCTAACTCGTTACTGGAGTCTTGTTAGGAAAATCACCAAGACACGTCGATTTTTGATTTCTACAATGTACATTTTTGTATGAATAGTTTACCCTTAATTTCATCCCTTACTGGAGGGGAGCAACCCTTTCGAAAAATTTAAATGGCATGAGGTGGTGAGTGATAGCTCATTTGAAAGAGGGTTTTATTCTCTATTCAACCGTGTAAAAAAATTTGAAATTTGCTTCATTAATTCTCGAATAATTGTTGTTTCAGAATAACGGAAATTAACGTAGCGCACTCATCCTTAGAATTAAAATTCGGCCCTGCATGATTTTGGTTTTGGTTCAGACGTGAAGTAAGACTTTTTGCCATTAGAAGGTCACTGTTAGTCTAGTTGCTTTCCTATTTTGTGAGGTTTTGTTATTTTTAAACATTAATAAATCAATACGTAATGAAACGAAATGCAACAAAATAAGGATGCAAATATGCACAAAAAACAGTCAAAATATGCACTAAAAACCACGATCCTTTTAAGAATTTATTATTGCAAACTATACAAGCTTTCGGCATGATTAGCACTTATTTTATAATAAAAATACACTTAAAAGTTTATCAAAGAGACACCTCGTACAAATTGTCTATGGAAGCCATAAAAAATTATCTCTTTAAAAACGAAAAGACATCAAATGAAATGTCATTTATCACAAATGCGCGCGTTATTTAAATTCGCCAATCGTAAATCATTCCTAACTCGCCAATCATAATGCGTCGTGTACCTAACATCGAAGGGGTTACAATACATTACACACCCATTTGAGTAACACCTCTAGTCTTATATTTATTAGTGTAAAACATATTTACAAATTCAATAAAAATCTAAAACGATAAATTTAAAATATTAAACCTAAAGTGAATGACAAGAGAATACAATCATTATAAAGAACCGAAATTATCTACAGTAATTGTTGGAAGTGTCCTCCATCCACACGTATGCAAGCATCTACGTTTCTTCACATAGACTGATGCATATTTTCAAAGATTCCTGGGGTATTTCCTATGGTTCCACTGCTGGTTAAAAAGCACTAAACCTAAACCGAAAATTTTGAAAATCAATAGGGTTCTCAGAAGAAATTATCAAAGAAAATCAAAACCGCAAATTAATCGGAACATTCGTTCTAGAATTATAATGTCGGCGCACATTTTTTTGCATTTTCGGCTTAGTTTGGTCAGAAATAACGTGAAAAGAAGTGTTAAAAAAGTGATGGTAAGCGGTGTTAAGAACATTTTTTTGTAGGCATGAATGTGTATGTGTTGTTTATTTATTTTTTTCTAAAAAATTTGTAACGCTCACACCTTACACCAACCCTGCCTTATTTACAAGCTTAAATTTTTAGTAAGAACAACTGAAATTTATTAAAATTGGCAACACCTAAAACATATACATTTAAATCTTCAAGGTCACAGAATTCTTTCAAAATCTCTTGAGGGGTTGTGCATCGGAATAATCTATGACGTCATTTCAAATTCAATAGAAGTTGTCTCATCCTTCTCTAGATACAAATGATACAATCTTGAATTAACATTTACAACGAAACAACCTGCTAAATTACTGTACGCTGTATTTTAATAATGGTGCACTCTAAATTAATTCCAAAAAACAAATTTAACGGATTTTTATTCCTGAAAACAGAACCGGATTTTCGTTTTTCATTACTATGAGGTTGGCTATACTTTGCACTGTAAACAGTTGAATTGTAAACAAAACAAAACTAACCTAAAATTATTTTTAAATTTTAACCAGTTTTAACTAATAATATTACTATTATGTATTAAAATATTTAATAATTTCCAAATACACATTTTGTAACTCACCAAGAAATTATCAGATATGATTCTTGGTTGGTTTTATTCGTTTTCAGTAACACAGTAAATGTTGAGAGGTTTAAAGTTCAACAACTGTCGTACCATGGCCACACATTTAGTTTCTTCGCCAGAAATTAAAACTTTTGTATTTATGGATATAGAAACAACTGGTTTGCCTCTTTATGAAAACAACACGACAAAAATAACGGAGCTTTGTTTAACTGCTGTACACGCCAGTCATTTACGTTTAGGAGCTTTTCCACGTGTGCAGAATAAATTAAATTTATGTTTTAACCCTTGTAAGCTGATATCCGCCGATTCAGAAAAAATTACTGGTAAGTTGAAAGATTTGGAACATTTTTTATCATGAATTTCACAGCCAAAGGAGTCTAATAAATAATGGCAGAGAGCCATGTTATATATTAAAATAGTTTTATTGGCATCGACTTGTTGATGTTTAATTTACAATTTAGCCTATTTGCAAATTACTAATTTCAACGTCTAATAAGTTACTTCAATAATATATTTTCTTCTCTTTAGGTCTTTCAAATACTTTATTAGAAGAGAGCTATAAATTTTCCAAAGAAACAGTAGATTCAATAAGTAACTTTTTGAATCATAATCCTCAGCCAATATGTTTTGTTGCTCATAACGGACTTAGGTTTGACTATCCTCTGCTTAGACGTGAAATAAACAAAACAAATACATCTTTGGATACAAACATTTTATGTATTGACACATTAGTAACTTTTCGTGAATTACTAGTAGAGAAAAATGAATTAAAAATAGAAAATATGATTACTGATATTGATACTGTAGATAATATTCAATGTGATCAACCTTTGTTTGAATGCATGGCCCAGCAAATGAATGAAACAACACCTTCAAAGCAAATGATTAAAAATCCATACAACAGTCCTCCTGTTAAAAAAATTAAGGTAGATAATGTTCGGAAGAAGATAGAGTTTGGGTAGGTTTTAAAATTAAGATTTTAAACAAATCTATATCACAATTTTTTAAAATTTTAGTTCAAGTTATAAGTTAGGTGACATATTCACTCGTTTAACTAATAAACAACCCATTAACTCTCATCAGGCTGATGGAGATGTTCAGATGTTAATTATGTGTGCTGCTACACTGGGGGATAGATTTGTAGATTGGTCAAATGAAAATTCTAAAAGATTTTGTGATGTTCCAGCCATGGTTCCAGGGAAAAAAATAGGCACATGAGGATTCTTTTTTTTTATAAAATTTTTAACATTATATAGGTAAACATTTCACATTAGATGTGTGGTTTTATGAAGCTGTATTTTATATCTTTATTTGAGTATTTTATTTATTGATTTTATTATATATTTTTATGCTACATTTACAGTATTTCCAGAATTAATCATTTTATTTGTTGATGTGTAATTTTTGTTAGATTATTATATTTTATATATTGAACCATTTTATCTATTTTATATTTAATTTAATTTAAATTTGTACATAGTACAAGGTTCTACAATGCAAGATTCATAATAGCCATATACATAAGTAAAGTTTGTGCCTTCCTAATTAATTAAAAACAGTATTTGTTGTACACATTCATTTTTGCCTATTTCACTTCTTATTATGGCTTTTAAGATTCACGTATGACTTTAAGTCATTCCTTGTACTCTAAATAATTGATAATGCATAGTTTTAAAATCTTTTACAATTTTTTGTATATTTTTAAACATGTAATTGCTATATACCTATATTCTAAAAACTTTATTTATACATAATAGGTTTGTTCTAGAAACAGTAAGAAATATAGTTATTTCACATGTATGTACATCAGAAAATGTTAAAAATTCTAGTAGGTACATTTATAACTACTGTAGGAACAAATCTATATCAAAATATTGAGTCTGAATTATAAAAAAATTCAAATACATTTTTAAAATGATTTTGTTGATTTTATTCTGTATATCTCTATTTTTAATGTCTTTATTTGGATAGAATTTAATCAGATTTAAAAATACAAAATTCCTGATACCTTTATCCTTTTTTTTGTCTTAAAGAAAATTGTTCCTGGATGAAACATAGTCCTGGTACACTAATAACAAATACCCCACTAATGTAATTGCTTTTATTTACAGTACTGGGTGAATTAACGTGAACAAAAGTGATAATTTAAGTAAAACAATTAAGACAGCCCAATGGGGACTTCTTCGATTAGTAATTAGTTCACAAAGTTTATAGATTAAAATTGTAGATTTTTGGGATATAGCCCAATAAAGGAAGAAGAAGAAATTGTAGGTTAGTCTATAATGACTAGTAAAAATATTCAAACAAAAAACTATTAATTCTAAAATTAATTGTATATTCATAAGAAAAAATAATTCAAAAAATTTGTATTGAAAAAATATATATTTGGGAAAATTAAATCAAATACATTTCACACCTAAATATTTGTGCTAAATCTCCAACAATACTTTGAATAAAATTCAATAAACTGCCACAGAGCATAAAAAATGCACCAAAATTAAAAACATTTAATTATCTAATAAAAGAACAGCTTTTAGAAATATGTTCATACACAGTACAAGAATATTTTAAAGGACCCATAAAATATAAAAAAGAAAAAGTCACACCTAGTCCAGTAACTGAAGGGACCAACCTGGATAGCTATTCTATTCACTAAGTCATGGGAGTGCACCCATATATTTTGCTCTCTTACTCTTAGGTGGGTATATCGTGCTTACTCATTTTTAGCCCAGGTACATGCGTAGTAAGGTCAGATTTTATACTATGAGAGGGAGAATTGCGGGCTTGCCAGATTAGGTCCGTATTTATCACAAAGCAAATTTGAACTACTAAGGGTCGATTCCACCGTTGTGTTAAACGGAAATTAAAATGACATTGTTAATGTAAAAATGTCATTTTAAACTTCGTTTAACACAACGGTGGATCGGTCCTTAAATAGTAGATCAAAGTTATTCTGTCGACTTGGCAACGTTGGCGTGGGAGTGCTCCCATGAGTTAGAGAATAGGTATCCGGGGACCTATTTTCAAACCGTGTGAGTACTCATTTCTCTCAAGATTCTCATCAGAAATGTCATACGTCAATGTGGAAACGCTGTTTTTAAAGGCCTCTAGGATTAAAATTCTTAGGAGGATATTAATTATCTCTAAATAAACCGTGAGAAACAATCAGTGAGTTTACACTGGCCCTTAATTAGGACCCTAAAAATACTGTTTTACGTTGACGTATGACATTTCTCTCGAGAGAAATGTCATAATTAAGGGCCAGTGTAAACTCACTGATTGTTTCTCACGGTTTATTTAGAGATAATTAATATCCTCCTAAGAATTTTAATCCTCGAGGCCTTTAAAAACAGCGTTTCCACATTGACGTATGACATTTCTGCGTTAACGCAGTACTCATTTCTCTCAAGATTCTCATCAGAAATGTCATACGTCAATGTGGAAACGCTGTTTTTAAAGGCCTCGAGAATTAAAATTTTTAGGAGGATATTAATTATCTCTAAATAAACCGTGAGAAACAATCAGTGAGTTTACACTGGCCCTTAGGACCCTAAAAATACTGTTTTACGTTGACGTATGACATTTCTCTCGAGAGAAATGAATTCTCTCGACTTTGAAAATAGCACCCCTGGGGACCTATTTTCAAACCGTGTGAGTACTCATTTCTCTCAAGATTCTCATCAGAAATGTCATACGTCAATGTGGAAACGCTGTATTTAAAGACATCGAGGATTAAAATTCTTAGGAGAATTTTAATTATCTCTAAATAAACCGAGAGAAACAGTCAGTGAGTTCACACTGGCCCTAAGAATACTGTTTTACGTTGACGTATGACATTTCTCTTGATGGAAATGAATTCTCTCGAGTTTGAAAATAGCCCCCCTGGGGTGCTATTTTCAAAGTCGAGAGAATTCATTTCTCTCGAGAGAAATGTCATACGTCAACGTAAAACAGTATTTTTAGGGTCCTAAGGGCCAGTGTAAACTCACTGATTGTTTCTCACGGTTTATTTAGAGATAATTAATATCCTCCTAAGAATTTTAATCCTCGAGGCCTTTAAAAACAGCGTTTCCACATTGACGTATGACATTTCTGATGAGAATCTTGAGAGAAATGAGTACTCACACGGTTTGAAAATAGGTCCCCTGTAGACATGGGTAACGCAGCGCTGCGTTAACGCAGTTGTATGCGTTACGAGCATTGATACACCAGCTGTTACTGTATCAGCGCAACGCAATTTTAGATACTGAGTCCTGAGTCGAAAGGATCGCGAATCGCGAGTTGTTGATGCGTCATGCGCCAGGCACTGATTCCGTTTTCCGTGAAGAGTTGAGAATTTTAATTTACGTAATTGATGCAACTCGTAATACAGATTACCCAAAATCTATCAAGTAATTATGTTCTTTGCAACATATGTCACATCATTTGTAGGATTGTAGGTCGAATTTTATGGATTTTAACCTTGTACACTGTCAGTTTTTAGTTCTTCCCATTTTGATTGGCTACTAGTATACAAAAGTTATATCCTTTTTATATAAATTGGAATTTTTGTATTCTTTGTAAAATCCGAACACAATGAAATAAAAAATGGGTGCATTACACTCAGGGACCCGGACCGAAATGAAATTGACGGTTCGGTTCCGGTTCTTATCACATTTAAAAAAATCCGGTCCGGTACGGTTCCGGTTCTCAAAAAAAAATTTCGGTTCGGTTCTCCCAAATTTTTTTCGGTTCGGTTCAGTTATTTCGGTTCGATTGATTTTTTTATAGTAGGTATGTACAGGGTTATTCATTATAAATTACCCACCCTTTATTATCGTTATTGCATATTGAAAAAAAAAAGTTTCAAATGAAAGTGTGGTTATAACTGTTTTTTGTTAAAATTCTATCAAATGTACAGTAGCGTGCAGATTTTCGGGGATACCTTGTATATTTTTACATTTTTATAATCCTCTCAACGAGCTGATTTCAACGATGGATCACACTTGATGTCTAATCTGGATAATAAACATCTGCAGCCACCTGAAAAATCACATTTTTTTTTTTTTACTCAAAAGTCAGATGAGATTTCCAATTTCCAAAAATGTGATTTTTCATGTGGCTGTAGATCCTTTATTATCCAGATTAGACATCAAGTATGATACATCGTTGAAATCAGCTCATCGAGAGGATTATAAAAATGTAAAAATATACAGGGTATCCCATTTAAAAATTTTTTTTTGGAACAAGTTGCGTTTTCACGCGTCTGCCTCTGTACTTGTCCGCACTCACAATTAGGGGAGTTATACACTCCTATCCGGTGAAGGTGTTCCGGGGTGGCACAATGTCCTACTAGCCTAAGTCTATTAATTGTAGTTTGTAGTAGCTGAATTAATATTGACGTTACCTACTTTTACTTTATTTGTCTTTTTTCCGATGTGTGGTTGTGGTGTGTGGTTTTATTATTCAGCTACTTTCAGTCATAAAAACTATGGGGTTCAGTGTTCAGTGACTCAGTGAGTCTTACTGGTCACGTGAATCAGCTATTCCAGCCAACAAAAAAGCATATGAAAAAGACACAAGAACCGAAAAAAACGAAAAAATTCATTTTTATTTCGGTTCGGTACGGTCCGGTCCATAAAAAATATTTTTAATATATTATAGGTTCGGTTCCGGTCCATCTAAAACATTTCGGTTCCGGTCCGGTTTTCGGTTAATAACGGTTCGGTCCGGGTCCCTGATTACACTGTTATATTTTCGTTTATTTTTAAACATATAATAAAAAAAAAATTAGTTAAATTCCCAATTGCGTTATTGTCTTGAACACGGTTTGACCCTTATAAAAAGACAGCCTGCGCTGAATAACACCGGTATCATGCGATACACCGAGGCAGTGTTGCCAGTCTAGTACAATTGTACTAGATCTAGTACATTCTCTGAGAATCTGGTACTCTAGTACACTCGAAACAAAATCTCGTACTTTTTTCAGCGTACGTTTTCATTTGAAGTGTAAAATATAAGTATTGGTCAAAACTTGCAAGAGAAATTAAAATAGTTGTTAAAAATTACTTCAGAGATAAAATAGTAAATATTTCTCGAGAGATAAAACATTGTTTAAAAATTGCACGAGAGATCAAATATTGTTCAAAAATGGCTTGAGAGTTAAAAAAGTGTGTTAAAAATTTGTCGAAGTATAAAATAGTATTATAAATTGCTTGAGGGGTAAAATATTGTTCAAAAATTGCTCTAGGGATAAAAATACTGTTAGAAATTTAATGAGAGATAAAAATATTTAATAATTTTTTACAGATTAAATAGTATTATAAATTGTTGAAATCGTGTTCAAAAATTGCTCGAGATATAAAATACTATTAGAAAATGCTCGAGAGATAAAATATTGTACAAACATTGCTCGAAATATAAAACATTGTTAAAAATTTATCGAGAGTTAAAATATTTTTATAAATTTGTCGAGAAGTAAAATATTTTTATAAATTTGTCGAGAGTTAAAATATTGTGCAGTTTGCTAAAGAGATAAAAAAGTTGTTAAAAATTGCTCGAGAGATAAAATAATGTTAGAAATTTATCGAGAGATAAAATATTGTTTAAATATAGCTCAAGAGATAAAAAAGGTTTAAAAACTGTTCGAGAGATAAAATAGTATCATAAATTATTAAAATCTTTTTCAAAAATTACTCGAGAATTAAAAAATACTATTAAACATTTCTCGAGAGATCAAATATTGTTCAAAAATAGCTTGAAAGGTAAAAAAGCTATTAAAAATTGCTCGAGTGATTAAATAGTGTTAAAAATTGTACAAAAAATTTTGTACAAACATTTCTCGAGGGATAAAAAAAGTTGTTAAAAATTGCTCGAGAGATAGAATACTGTTAGAAATTTGTTTAAAAACTGTTCGAGAGATAAAATATTATCAAAAGGTGTTAAATCTTTTTCAAAAATTGCTCGAGAGATAAAATAGGGTTAGAAATTGTTAAAATTTTGTTCAAAAATTGCACGAGACATCAAATATTGTTTAAAAATAGCTTGAAAGGTAAAAAAGGCTATTAAAAATTTCTCGAGTGATTAAATAGTGTTAATAATTGTACAAACATTGTTCGAGGGATAAAAAAAAGTTGTTAAAAATTGCTCGAGAGATAGAATACTGTTAGAAATTTATCGGGAGATAAAATATTGTTTCAAAATAGCTCAAGAGATAAAAAAAAGATTTAAAAACTGTTCAAGAGATAAAAGAGTATCAAAAGGTATTAAAATCTTATTCAAAAACTGCTCTAGAGATAAAATAGTGTCAGAAATTTGTCGAGTGATAAAATATTGTTTAAAATTGTTGTGTTCGTGTTCTCTATAAACCTTTTTTTGCTCTTTAATGACCATACTTCATAATTAGACAAATCTGGTAATTTTATAGAATCTAGTACATTTTTATGAAATCTGGTACATTTTTTAGATAAATCTGGTACATTACAAAAATATATTCTGGCAACACTGCGCCCGCGGATGCCAATGCTTCAGAAAATTTTTCAATCACACCATGAGTTGTTATCGTGATTAGTAAATTCAAATAAACGGGCATATTTCTTTAAATCATTAACATTTTTATGAAAGCAATAAAAGATGTAAAAAACAGCAACCGTATATTTTTGAATACCAGTAATTAAATAAATAACAGTTTGTTTGAACTAAAACCACTGTACTATAACACACTAATTCTTCTTAACGTTTATAATTGTTATTTTACCTGATCTATACTTTGGGTAAAAAAATATACATGTGGGTGTAAAAAAAATATATTTTCACATTTAATTATTCATTTTGATTTTTATCGATGGGAGATCTTTAACCAAATTTTTATACTTATATTTCAAATCAGCCTTCTACTGTAAAAAAATCACAACAGCACCAATTCAATTTAGAAGCTGTCAACTTTAACTCTTGACTGGAACTTTACTCCGTTGGTATATCAAGCCCACATTTAGAATTAATGTCAGCATTCTATACTATAACTCTCTTCATGAGCTTTCGAATTTACTTGTTTGAGAATTGTTCGAAGAGATGTTCCAGGCCCTACTTCGAAAGTTTTAGGAAAGTAAGTACCAGGTTCCCTTTCGTACACCACATGTAGTAACTGTTCCCATTTAACTGGTTTGATCATCTACAAATTAATAATAAAAGAAAAAAAGCTCGAAATCTGATAACCAGGTAAAAATACAATGGAAAATTCTGGAGGACATGAGGAAAAAGGAAGGCATCAAAGGTAATGGTAATAGGAAAAAAAGAGAAGTTGGGAAGTTTAAAGTATCTAAAGGGAACCACAAAGTTATTCATATATGTACTTCAAAATTAATATTGTTAAACCGTTTTACCTGTTTTGGAAGCTGTTTTCTAATATGTTCAGCATTTTTATAAATTTTTCCATCTAAGTTTGAGTAAACACTTATAATGGGATCATTGATTTCGGTTTTATTTAAAGCTTTTTTAAACGTTTCCATAGCAGGTGCCATTAAATCTGTGTGAAATGCTCCACTGACTGGAAGTCTTTTGACTTTACGTAATCTAAATTCTTTATAATTCTTCTCCAGAAAATCTAAAGCCTAAAATACATTTTTTTATTACTTTATTGAATCATATATTATACAGTATTTTGAGAATACTTTCTATATTGTATCTTTTTTTTATATTTAAAGGGACTTGATTAAGGATGCATATATTTCTTATCTTCATTAAAATCAACAGATATTGAAACACGCTGGTTTAGATGTAGATGGTGTTGGTTTAATAGTTATAAGTTACAATAATAAATAAGTTACAATAAAGTACAATAATGGAAACCAATTATATAACAAGCACCTAGGTGAGAACACCTGTATGTGCTAACAAAATTTTAAAATTTTATTTTAATTAAATGAATTATAAAGGAAATAAAAAAAAATTTTTTTTTATTAAATAAAACTTGAACAATTTATGCAAGAAAAAAGAAAAAAAAAACTATTTAAAAAAATCCATGTATTAAATCCGTTATTCTAGGAATATTCTGATAAACTGGAAAATGTATATTTTGCTAACTTTACAGAATTGTTTATATTTGCTTTATAATTTTATATGAAGAGGTAGAGCGTTATAGAACTTTGTCCCTAAATAATTTACACTGTTTTTAAAAAACTCACTATTTGGTTTTGGTACTTTAATGCACATGTTCGATGCAGTTCTAGTGTTATGTCTATGTTCTAAAGGGTTTTTTAAAAAGTCATTTTTTTGTATATAACAACACACTGCGTGAATATATAAACATCTAAAATTGCTAATTTTTTCATTATATAAAGTTATGGTGGGACACAATCTATCTCTTTTATATATTAACTTCAAGATTTTGTTTTGAATAACATTTAACTGATTTAATGAAGCAATGTAGTTTGTTTTGTTAACATTCAAAGACAATTTAAAAACATCCAGCCAGTTTTGACATTCCATTCCATTCCAGCTATAGCACGTGTCTTGATGGCTTCCCAATCTTTATCACTGAAGACTAGCACTGTATCATCAGCATATGATACAACTTTACCTTGAATATCAATCTGAATTAAGCTCTTAATGTATAAATTAAATAGTATAGGTCCTAGAACAGTCCCTTGAGGTACTCCGATTTGTATATTTTTAGGGTTACTCACATTGTCTCTGACCTTTACCTTCTGTTGTCTGTGTGTCAAATAATTTTCAAAAACCTTCAACAGGATGTCCCTCACTCCATTCTGTTCAAGAACATTTAAGAGCTTTTGATGTGGCACCGTGTCAAATGTTTTTGCTAGATCTAGAAATATAGCTATACACTTGTTACCAGTATTCATTTCATCAGTAACATATGAAATCAATTCATGCATAGCATCTCCTGAGTTAAGACCCTCAATAAAGCCATATTGGTGCTTGGGAAGTAAGCCATTAGTTTTTAAAAAATCTGTCAGTCTATCTTTCATACATTTCTCAAATATTTTGGCCACATTACTAATTAAACTAATAGGCCTATAGTTTGTGGCTTTTTATTAGCAAGGTTAAAGATCACGTCACAGAAAATATGGTCATAACACATCTAAAAAAAAAGTGTGACAGAAAAGATCTGTTATCTGTGAAGGAATTATCAACATACAAACAAACTGATAATAACAAATGTTTTAAGATCAACATGCAATATGATCTTATGGACCAGGTGTACACTGGAAGTTTCTGGCCACCATGGGTAGCAGTCTACCCTTATGACTTTAGAAAAGAAGAAAACAGGTATAACAACAACCAGGAAGCAAACCTACTAGATGAAAATTTTCCGGATGCCAATCATAATCCAAACAGGAGAATATGAAAACAAACACACCAAGACTGAAGAAATCAGAATTAATGAAGAACATCTGTCAAAAAATCATGATAACAAAAACTAATGCATTTCAATATACAAGGTATACAGACAAAAATTAGTGAGCTAGAACAAATTTTAAAAAAGAATAAAGTAGATATATGTTGTTTTTCAGAACATTAGCTAAACGCTAATGAAATTGATATGTTAGAGCTTTGTGATTATTTTTTGATAACTAAATATTGTAGGACACAATACCAAAGGGATGGAGCTCTATTTATTCAAAAAGTAGTGTGTTAATAGAACCTGTATACTGCAATTTTACTATTGAGAAAGTTATCGAAATACTTTCCTATCAGACCATTCACTACAACTCTGTGAATTCAACTTCCCAATAACAAATCAGGAAGAAACTACACAATCTTTTGTTAGGGATTTAAGTAACAATACCAAGCTTATCTTTAAAAATATAATTATTAACAAGTCATGGGAAGACATGTATAACTCATCTGAGTTCAATAACAAATTTAACAGCTTTTATTCGACTTTTTTGTACCATTTCACTTTTACATTTAAAGTTAAACCTAAACAACACAAAAATAATTTTTTTAACATGGAACTAAGTGCATTGAATGAGATGCTGTGTGAATTACATAGCTAGTAATAATGATACTATTAGGGATAGATATAAAAAACTCAAAGTCAAATCAGAAACACTTTCCTATAATAATAAAAGGGTAATTAATGCAAAAAATTCAACAATAGAATGTTGGAGAATTGTAAATGAGACAAAAGGAAAATCAGTAAAAAAATTACCCATTGGGATGCTAAATTGTCAAGGCAATAAAATTTCTGGTGCCCAAAATATATGTAATGCTTTTAATAATCAGTTTACTTCTACCAAATTATACTCAAGCAAGGCTTCAAGATTTTTCTATAAGCACTCTATTTTTAACTCCAACTACCCCAAAGGAAATAACAGAAAATATACAGAAAACAACTTGTAAAAAATCTGCCAGTATGGATGAAATAAATGGAACAATATTGTTTTTATTGCTGAAGATATTGGTGTACCTGTGACCTACCTTATAAATAAGTCTTTTTTATGTGGTGACTATCCTAGCATATTAAAAAAATCAAAATCCACTCCTATATATAAAGATAAAGGGTCTGTAAATGATATGGCAAACTATAGGAACATCTGCATTCAAAATCAACTGGCTAAAGTATTCGAAATGACTTATAATAACAGGTTTATTAAATTTCTAAAACAGTATAGACTTTTGAGTAAATTTCAACATGGTTTTCGCAGAAATAAGTCAACATCTAGTGCTATAGGGGAGTTATGCGATTTCTTTAAATAACAAGGAATTAAATATTACCTTTCTGAAAAAAATATTAACCATCCAATTACAGAACGCGCATATTTACAAATGAGCAGTCAGAAATTATTTTATGTGATTTAAATGTAAGAAGCATCAAATAAGATCAGTTTTTCATGGAAATATTACAATTGTTGAATAGAACATTATAAAATGTAAATATTATTCCTATTATAGCATAAAATGAATTGTTCTATGCACTTGTGATTCATTTTTTTTTTCATCTCCTGAAAAATGTTGATTTTGTGACTTATGAGGTTCTACCTTGTGGCCCTCTATATTTAACCCTCAAATTAAAATTATTTGTGATTGGATACTCACCGATTCACTACCAGCAACTACCTTGCAATGAGGGAACAAATAGTTGGCAATTTTGCATTCTGGAAGTGGATCTCCTTTATCCACAGCCCATTCTTTGGCTTTTACACATGCAATATTTAATTTACTATCTGGTCCATACATAACAGTGACCATGCCTCCTTTATATGCCTCACTAGCTAATTGCATAGCCTCACCTCTGATTTGAACTAATTGTAGACCTATAATATTTCATGCAATTTAAAATATAGAAATTTGGTAAAAACCTGAAACAAACCTCGTTCGAAATTAATTGCTCCAGCAAACACCAAAGCAGTAATTTCTCCTAAACTAAACCCTGCAGTAGCAACACAGTTTGCTATTGCATTAGGTCGTTCTTCTTTAAGTTTTTCGATAGCAGCTAAAGAACAAACCATAATAGCAGGTTGAGCATATTTCGTTTGATCTAATTTATTTTTTGGACCTTCCAGACACAATTTCAACAAATCGTAACCAATTATATAATTGGCTAGTTCGAATAAATCTTTAGCCATTGGGAATTTTAATAAATCCTTTGCCATGCCGACGTATTGACTTCCCTGACCTGGAAAAAGTATGATTGCAGCATCTCTTGGATCTTGTTTTTCTTTTCTAAAGTAGTCACCTTGTTTCCTAATTTTTGTACCTTGAGGGTAGGGTAAAGTGGCCCATCGTTGTACATTTTCTGTAGATACATCCTGAAATGTTGACGAATCGTTTAGTAATTTCTTTAACGGAGAATCGTTTTCTTTTTTTGATTCCCACACTGAACTACTGGTAAAAAGTTTTTTGATAAATGTCCTTTCAACTTCAAAATGTTTCACAATATTTATAGTAGATTTACGAATCATTTTTGAAATTGTTTTTAAAATTCACTACTTTTCATAAACCATAACCTCACTTTTAGTTCAGTCGTATTTCTTCTTTTTTTTTTTTTTTGCTCAGTGCAACAACGTTTTGGCTATCTAGTAATATAGTTTTATGTACACAGGACCGGTTTTGTTTATTTTCTCGTTTTTGAAAAATTTCAAATTGAACGATCATAGAATATTGTAGATTATTAATTGGTTTTACTTGCATCAATTATAATAAATATTTAGCAATGGAGATATTACATTCAATTCCAAAATGTTACATTAAAAAGTTTTGGTTTTACTAAAACTATATAGGGTGTTTATTAGGTACTTGTACAAACTTTAAATAGTGAATCTTTGACTAATTTTAAGGCAAAAAGTTTATATGAACACGTGTCCTAAACCTCTTAACTTTTGTGCTACAGGGTGGTAAAGTTTTCAGAAAAAAATCTATTTTTTCCAATAACTGTGAGACTATTATAGATATCTTTACGAAATTTGGTACACGTATACTATGCATTAAGATGCATTTTTTGATGTACAAATTTATGTTTTCTATCAGTGGCGTCCATACCTACGGGGTTTGTACTGAATATTTTTGCAGAAAAAAATAGTATGTCACTGCTTCATCTTAAAACAAAAATTAATTTTGAAATCCTCATTAATTTTTAAACAAATTTAATCTCTTGAGTTTTTTCGTTCGATGCATAGTTTACGCTTTAAAAAATAGTCAAATTGCTAAAATGTACAATTGTACATACATGCATAGCAAGCCTTGCAAACAACCGAGAGGTTTCCATGGTAGCGGAATCAGTCATGACAGTTTATTTAAAAAAAAGATCATGGTTTTTGTCATTTAAAAATGTATGTATGTAATAATTTATTGTCTATTATTGTGTTCAAAATGTACGAATATACCAATGCAGAAATGGCAGACATTCATTTCGTCTACGGAATGGCTCACGGTAATGCACAAGCTGCAAAAATAATGTATCAAGCCCGATTTCCTCAACGGGTGGTTCCACATGTCCGAACTTTCATTAATATTCACGCAAGACTTTGTGAAACTGGCAGCTTTAAAAGAACAATTGATATCCCAGGAAGGCCTGCGACAGTTCGAACAGTTGAAATTAAAGAAGCTGTGTTAAATAGAATTGAAGAAGACCCGCAAACTAGTACAAGGAAAATTGCTCATGAATTGAATATTACGCATACAATTGTGTGGTAAATTTTAAAATCTCAACTTTATCCTTATCATATTCAACGTGTACAGGCATTACTACCTAGAGATTTTCCTCTCAGAGTAGATTTCTGCGTTTGGCTGCGAAATAAATTATTAACAACCCCGGATTTCTTAGGCCATGTACTTGTTACAGACGAAGCTTCTTTTTCTCGAAACGCCATCATGAACTTTCACAACAACCATATCTGGTCTGAGGATAATCCCAATGCTATCATAGAAAATAATTTCCAAGATCGTTTTTCTCTAAATATTTGGGTCGGAATTATCGAGGATCACCTTATTGGACCTTGCATTCTTCCACAAAGGCTAAATGGCGAAGAGTACAGAAGATTTTTGGCGCACCGGCATACTTTTGTTTGGCTGCACGTCAATTTCTGAACGAGAATTATCCTAATCGTTGGATAGGAAGAGCGGGACCGCATGCCTGGCCTCCCAGATCACCAGATTTAAATCCTCTGGATTTTTTCTGTGGGGTCACTTAAAGACACTAGTTTACAAAACATCCGTTCAAAATGAGCAAGATCTAAGAAACAGGATATATGAATCGTGTGCCATTATTAATCAGACACCAGGTATATTCGAAAGAGTACGTCAATCAATGTTAAGGCGAATTGACACATACATTGCAGTAGGCGGCGGGCATTTTCAGCAATTGTTGTAAATGTTATTAACTTATTTGTAAAAGTAGTTTAGTCTTAGTCTGTAAATAATCTAAGTTTATTACATAACAATATTGATCAATAAAAGACACATTTTTCTCTTGTTCCATGCAGAATACTATGCGTCGGACGAAAACTATGCGTCGGAGAAAAACTCATCAGACCAAATTTGCTCAAAACTAAATGAGGATTGCAAAAATATTTGTTATTTTAAGATGAAGCAGTGGCGTACTATTTTTTTCGGCAAAAATATTTAATACGAAACCCGTACGGGCGCCACTGGTAGAAATAATAAAATTATTTGTACATTAAAAAATGCATCATAATGCGTAGGAGACGTATACCAAATTTCGTAAAAATATCTGCAATATTCTTAGTTATTAGAAAAAAAATTTTTTTTTCTGAAAACTTTACCACTCTGTAGCTCAAAAGTTAAGAGGTTTAGGACATGTGTTCATATAAACGTTTTGCCTTAAAATAAGTCAAAGATTCACCATTTAAAGTTTGTACAAGTACTTAATAAACACCCTGTATACTGATGACCGTCTTAGGGTGACCATATTTATTTTGACCCAATGCTAGACTTTGGAGAGGTGAAGGCATATTTTTTAGCTCCTGAATACAAACACCATAAGCGAAAATCCTTTAGGATTGCATTTATAATTTTTTGAATGTGAAAGAAAGTTGGGATCTGATCGTATTCATAGGGTAATTTTTAATTATAAGGGTTAATTTCACCCTGTTGGATAAGTTCTGAGGTATTTTCTCTCACAATGTATTTCGGTAAGTGTATTTATGATTTTTTGAATGTAAAATCAAGTTAGGATCTGGAATTATTCTCTAACTTTCAGCCGAAAACTTCTTAACAAAGTTCGATCACCAAAACGACAAGCATGCATGCGATTAGACTATTTTGCTATTCGTAAGTGATTTTAATGTTGCTTTTAATATTCACACTATTATTTTATAAAATTTTAATGAGCTCTCCTGAATATTTTAATATTTTGAAATATGACACTCTTTAATTAGGATGTTCTCTTATTTAATTTCCTCAATTGCAAAAAAAAATTTTTGTTACTTCAATAAATATTTCCTCTATTTGGCATTTTAAATAATTCCTATTATTTTTTATTTTCAGCGAATTTCCGTTCGAAAAAACTTAAATCGTCGAAAATATTTTGAGTTAATCGGTAGCACGATATAATTGGTCTGAGTTCATATTCATTTCACCTCGGACAATAAAGACTGGAAATAATGGACATTATGAAGAAACGGTAAAAAATACTGGAGCAAAAAATGGGACAGAGAAAGACAGTAGAATCAGCGTCTTCAAATGGTGAGTCTTTTGATTTAAATTTAGCTTTTTTTGTAAACAAATTATTACATCGCACCCTTGCTTCAAAATTAACATCTTCTGATTTAATACCATAAATTTGATTAGTCAACAAACTTACATCAAACCCTCAGAAATAAACAGGCGCAGTTTAGAAGGGAATCAAATAAAAACTAATTTATTTAAGAATCAGTCATAATTATTTTATCATCGATTAAACTCAACTTTTGCGCATGCGCGATCCACGCCCCACACTACGGTCAAACTCACCTTTTATGTAATGATTTAATAATTAACTGTCTCTATTTTAAATATATAGTTAGGTACACTAATAATTATTATGGATTAATAGTTATATGAAACAATTTGGAAATTTGAATACAAAAATATATTACATAAATTATTAAATACATTTACAATTCTGTGGCATCTTCATTATCACTTAATTTTCTAAAACAAACATGTTCTATGTTATTATTTGGTATGATATAAGGCCCTTTTCTGAATGTTCCATATTCATCGGGCATACTATCATTTAAAATGATTTCTCTTCTAGCCAATGGATTTCGCGCTTTGGGTTTCTCCTTGTACTTTTGATCCATCTGATTCGAATTTAGAGAATCTGTTAACGATACTATCCTAAATTGTCCATTTTCAACTGGACTTTGTTTGTTTGATATCATATTTGCTTCATTTAATTCTGTGTATATGTTACTACTATTATTATTATCGATATTATCTTTTTCTATTTTTTCTTTGTACATTCCATGAACACTTTGAGGTGACTGACAACTAGCTAATATTTTCTTATTTTTCTTTATCGATTTTGTGTAATCCTTTGTACCTTTTCTTTTTAATGTGAAATCGCGTTCTCCTGATTTTGCTTTTGTATTCCATTGGATCCAATTGTGTCTGGATATTGGATCCTTTGGTCCCCAATTCTTTGAAGGTTTCAAAGAAGATTTAAATCTCTGAAACATATAAATAATATTTCAATTCTTTGCTCTGTAACATACTTTTTATTTTATTTAAACATTGTTTTATACATTTTATCGATGAAGTAGATACCTGTCTCCAAATAAAATTAACTTTGTGAGACTAAAAGGATCATTTTTACTGCCTTCCCAAGTATTTCTTTCTTATGTTTATAATTTGTTAAAAAATATTACCTCTATAAAAGTGTATCCGTCCTGTTTTGTAACTATATAAAGTCCTGTTACAAAGATTAATAGGCTAGACGTTAGAACAATGCCAAATCCAACACCGTACAGCCATGGTGGATCATTTCTAAAAATACCTTCCAGCGGTAAAGTAATCATCCCCCAAGCAAAAATGGACGTTAGAACAATCGGTGCTAGCCACCATAATATTAGCCAAAATTTTGATAAAATATGCCCAAGCATAAATTCAAAATCGGACTGTATTCGTTCCACTCCTAAAAACAAATAGTACTATTTAATAAAGTACAACAATTTACATAGTTGTCAGTACACATAAATGGTAAAATACACCACATTTTACATACATTAACATATAGCATACTCGTATAAAATTTAAAATAAAATAGGATTTTAAAAGATCATGCGGTTGGTAATAGTAATAAAAAATATATAAAGAAATCATTGATCTGGCAACCTAGGGATACGACATGCGTAAACGAAAAGTGGGACCGGTCCGCCATTACTGTGAGTACAAATTGTCAAATTTTATAGGTTATATTTTTAGTGTCATTTGTGTAATTAAATTTGAATTTAATTTGTGATTGAGCAAATTTTGAGTGTTAAAAACTTATAAAGTATATAATGCCTTGCTGTGTTATATGTTCCTGCTCTAGCCATAGACGTTTGTGTGAAAAATCGACTGGAATAACGTTTCATAGGTTAGTATCAAAATTATAAATATTATACAGGACAGTATTATGACAGGTTTGTATAAAATGTGTAAAAGTATGCTTTTAAAAATGCAAAAAAATCATCTATCAACTTTTGAGCCCACCTATATTGGAATAAATACTTTTTCATACGAAATAATATTTATAGATTTCCAAAAAATCCTGAAAAACGTAGCGCGTGAATACTGTTTGTCAAGAAGCATAATTGGGAACCTTCTAAATTCAGCTGTATATGTTCCAAGCATTTTCTTGAGAAGTACATTAATCGTACGCTATTTCGTTTATCAAATTTATAGGCATTTTTATATTCTTATTTCTATTTAAATATAACCTACATTTGCGGTCCTTCCACCAATTTTATTTATTAGTTCTACAGCTGATTGAAAAGTAGAGCTTCATGTTTTGTGTATGCATGAGTATTGTTTGTTTTATTATAGTTAATTTAAAACAATATTAATATACCTTTTTAATTACCTATAATTTGTTTCAGATTAGTGCGTTTAAAGGAATTGGTGAAAATGAAGCGATTCGCCAGCTTTGGGGATGTACCAGTAAAAGTGACATCGAAGTTATTCAACGATTCCAGAATAAAGTATTAAGGAACATCGTCGATGCACCATGGTACTGCCACAATACTGATCTTCATAGGAACCTTAAAGTGAAGACTGTTGAAAATACAATACAAACATTTGCTAGTAGTCACCAACAACGACTGCTCCAACATGGAAACCTCGAGATTATCCAGCTCCTCAACAAGCGACGATTTCCATACCGACAAGTTCCAAAGCACCAAACATTCAGTGCTGTGTTTCGACATATTGGAACACATGGCATACTGTGTTAATATATCTTTTGAAATTTAAACTCTTGCAGCTTGGTAACCATGTAGAATTGAATATTTGTTCATAGGACATTTTATGCTTGAAATGAATTCAGGAATATAATATTTAAGTTTGTACAGTGCATATTATGAACACACTGTATATAAGTTCTAATAATAATAAAAATATTTTCTAATGCCTTGGTATGATTCCCCACTCGACTATTCACTGTTGGGTTCTAATAATTAACAGTGCTGTTCCTGAAGTGGCGCTGGGAAACAGTAACAAAGCCTACACAGAACACAGTAACAAAGTCTACACAGAACACAATTATTAAGAATTTAAACACAAGCTTGAGACTGGCATATTAGGTATATACACCTTGGCCATAAGTCGAAAAAAAAAATAACATTAGTCTTTTTTTAATGAGACTAGCAATAAAATCATAACCGTTTGTCTAGTATTAAAAATAAATATCACTCATAGATGTGGATAAGAAAATATTAAAACTGTATTCCTTGTACACTTTTATTTAATCACAGCACACATTATTTGCATTTACCTTAGTGGTTAAGAAAAGCACAGTGGATACTTTTCCTAACTCAATAAACATTTATTACCTAGATGTTGGCCTCCCTTTATCACCATCCTACAATTTCAACTCTTTTGCTGTTAACTTTAACTTCATCTGTGACTTTAATTATGATTGAAACTTTAACTTTATCTTCACATTCTTTGTCTGACTTTCAATTATACATGCATGATGATTGTGCATAGACCAATTAAATTGGACCGGCACGCTTGTGGTGCATGTGTGTTATTAGGGTAGGCCTTTACATAAGTAGCCATAATCTCTGCAGATGGTGAGAAGCCCAGCTCAAACCAACTACCATACTATCGTCATTGGATCTATAGGTCTCAAGTAAGATCACTTCATATTTTACATTTGTTAGAAGTGCACCTGCACACCGCTGGTTGTGGCTTCGCTGATTTACTGAATGTCTTGCATGAAGATATACACCTTTCAGTCTGAATCTACAAAAGTACCAAGACCAAGTAAGATTAATCCACATTTTGATTTCCTGAATAGTGCATCTACCTACACAGAGATTGCTTATTAGCCATTTTCCGCGAGCCTTGAATTAAGTTTCATATCTGATTATCGAGCTTTTAGTGTATGAACATTTGTTCTTAATTTCGAGAAAGCTGTTAATTAAAGTAAGGTTAGATTCTTCCTCCATGGTCAGATTACTTGACATTTGCGACCTTGTACTTTCCGATAAAGACGAAGCATTGGGCTCATAGAAAAACGAAAAACTAAAGATTGAGCTATTTATGTGCCCTAGTGCAAACGTGTGACGACTGATCCAATAAATCGAACTCTGTTTACTTTTGTCGCTTATGTGAACCAAAAATGTACTATTTATTTTTTCTGTGAATGATTTCAACGCTTTAGGGTTAATTCCACCATTGTGTTAAAGTTTAAACTATTAATTGAAGATTAAAATTAAATTTTATGTAAAAATGTCATTTTAAACTTCGTTAAACCCAATGGTGGAATCGGCCCCAAGTTAGTTATATGATGGTCATTGATTAGTTGCAATTTTGCAAATATTATATTCTCCAGCGTTTAATAGCCACGAGTGATAATTAAATCAGTTATATTTTATTTCTTTCATTTACTTTATTCAGCACCTTTCGGCTGAAAACCGGGCATATTTAAGCTTTTAAACCCCCTTCTTTTATAACTTCGGCTTTCCACTACATTTTAAGTCAATGTCAATAAAAAGGAAATTAATTTTTTTATAGTTCAAATAATGATATTTAACCAGAAATAGTACAATAAAAACTTGTAAATCCGGTTCTGCTCTTCCGCCATTTTAGAGAGTGCAAAAGCCACGCCTACCGGTCCCACTTTTGTTTATCAAAAATAATACATATGACGTATCCTTACGTTGCCTTATCAATGAAAGAAATACAACCTAAGATTGATGTTTTGGAGTTTTTAGTATTTCAGTAAATACAATAAATTTATTAGGTTGGTAGCATGGGTATTTCGCTTCATTTTTAACTATAGGTAATATTTATAAATTGCTAAAATTATCTTCAAAAAATATTTCTTATACCTATAAAAATAATTAGTTCTTACCATAAAACGCTAATACAGTTAAAACTTCCAAAATAGCCGTTATGAGTATTAAATTTCCCACAATATAATGATCTAACAAATGAACGACATCAAAATCTGATTTTAGTAATATTGCACATCCAAGGATATAACCCGAAACGCATAATATTACACTGGCTTGCCACCATTTAAGCCTTGATCTTGCTCCAACAGTTATGGCTTTCAACAGTGTGTAGGTTAACGTCGCCTATAAAAAATAAGAAAGTTAATTAATTCACTGCAAAACCAAACAGTTGAAACTTTTGCATTTAAGGAGCATCAAAAGTATTTTACGATAGTGGTACAGGAAACTTACCATACTGATAAAGCCAGATAATATAAACAGAGCAAATATGAGAATAATCCATATATTTTTATCAGAGTCATTGTTAACACCTCCGATGTCGTATATAAGAGACATTAGAAAAATTTCGGCTACATCTCCTTCGCTTGAAGTTATATTGGCACTTGTATAATTTGATAGGGATTGTGAAATGATCGTTGAACCAAGTCCAAATAGTATATTTATTCCACAATAGCCTAGAGCAGTCCTAAAAATATAAAAAAAAATATTTATTTATATTGCCATCATGAACAAGTTCGGCTTGGAATGAGTTTATCGCCTCCAAGTTCATAAATCTTCATCTATTATGTTAAAATCGTTTTTTTTTTGTTTAAGCTATAAAAATATATAATAATAATAAATAAATGTTTTATTTGTTTTGCAAATACATATACTTTTATTAAAACTAACATATATACTTTTTAATTTCAAATTCTATTAAAAATTGTATTGTCAGTAAACGTAAAAATAGTCCATTAGTACATAAATCAATTGGCGTTGCTGTCACGCACGGAGCGAATGGGTATAATGATTTTAGGACTATTTTCTGAATTATTGGGTGATAATTTTACTACTACTCACCAAAATGGATTTACTTTATTATACAAAAATCCGGCGTTTGTGACAAATGATCCAAAGCCAACTGTTGTAGAGAAAAATACTTGTATACACGCATAATACCATACCTAAAAAAGGTTAATGTTATAAACATGTTCAAATCACACGAGCCAGATCCCATGAGCAGTAATAAGTAGTTTGAAAACACTAAGAAATCAAGGGCTATACGCCCCAAGATATGCCGACGACATAGTCATCCTTATCCGAGGGAAACACCAAACCACAGTCTTTGAACACATGTAAAGAGCTCTTGCACACATTGATTCCGAGGCCCGAGTCGAATAAGTTCTCATCCTGTGTATTACTGGATCAGAACTTGTTTGACCCATTCCGTCCACCTCCCTGCTATAAGCATGACATCGCTGCAGGGACCTCAGTGGCAATAAGGCATCAAATTTGCAAATCTAACTTTCGAAAGGGCATGAAAGTTTGAAATGTAATCATCATTTATACAGAGTGTGGTATAAGACTTTATTCTGTCGTTAAAGAGTTCTTACGCTGACAGAAATGTGGTATGTTAGGGAAACCCTCTTGGTAAACTCTGACAAGGCACAACTCATAACCTTTACTCGGAAAACAAGGTTGGAGGTTTTAGAAACTCCGACTCTGTTTGGAGGAAGGCTAAACAAAACGAACCAAGTAAAATATCTGGGTCTAATCCTAGATAGCAAACTTACTTGGAACCAACACTTACAAAAAGTGACCAACAAATGTAAAATGTCTCTTATTGTAGGGAGACGGGCATTTGGAAAAATATGAGGATTAAAACCAAAATGATCCACTGGCTATATTTGGCAATAGCAAGACCCACGATATGTTGATAATGGGGGTGTTAATACACTGCGACCTAAAAGATCTATTGTGCCCCCTTCTGTCACCACTGCACTAAGGAAATGTCTCAATGCCTATAGCGACCCTTCCAATCCTATTTTCTCAAGGAAGTGTAGGATTTGAAGTGGCTTCAAGTTAGGTAAGTCTCCCTCTTCTATTTGATATCCTCCTAGATATAGTGTCCTTGGATTCTGGAGTGCTACACATTCAGTTAGGATGTGAATGGAGGTTCCGTCCTCCTCCTCACAGAATCTGCACTCATTATCCTCTACTACTCTCAGTTTACTTAGGTGTCCTTTTAGTCGGCAGTGCCCGGTAAGGATCCCTGTTACAATACGTAGCCTGTTCTTGCTCAGGCAGATGCAGGCTTCTGATCTTTTTTGGTTATATTCATCCAGAAGTATCTTGGCCTGTCTCAGACCCAAGAGATTGTTCCAATTATCGGTTCTTCTACTACCCAATTCTTTTTTAATCTCTTCTAATATTATGTTACTGCTGATACCGCAGAACGGCTCAGGTCCTACAAAGGGTGTTTGAGCCCCTTTCCTTGCAAGACTATCTGCAATCTCGTTACCCTGTACCCCGTTATGTCCCGGGACCCAAGTGAGAGTAACTCTATTTTTCTCGCCTAGCTCATTCAATTGTTCTAGGCATCTCCATACCATTTTTGAGCTGATTACGTAAGAACTCAGCGCTTTGATGGCTGCTTAACTATCGGACATGATGATAATCTCTTGTCTATGATAGTTTCTCTCGATGTTAAACTGGATACACTTCTCGATGGCGTGAATTTCCGCCTGGAAGATGCTTGGGTATTTTCCCAAGCTTTCGGAGTGCTTGGTTCTCGGCCCATACACTCCTATTCCAGTTCCTTCTATGGTTTTGGAATCGTCCGTGTACCACTGAATAGCACGTCTTTCGGTTGCAAGCGCGATGGATTCTTGGCTCCATTCTTTCTTGCAGCCCAGCTCTGTAAGACCCACGATAACTTATGGAACGGTTATTTGGTGGCCAAAAATAAACCAGAAAACATCTCTCAATACCCTCTCAGGAGTACAGACGCTGGCATGCCTTTGTATTACAGGAGTACTGAGAAATACACCGACAGCCTCTATGGAAATCATTTTCAACCTCCCACCCCTTGACCTAGTCATAAAGAAGGAGGCCAGAATGAGTGCATACAAACTGGAAATCTCCAACAACTGGAACCCACTGGGACATATAAAACATACCAGAATAACACATGAAGTAAATGATTCTATATTAAATATGGGATCAGATCACATGACACCCCTCCTAACCTTTAACAGACTCTTCCAGATCAACTGTAACTGGAACGAGGTAAATAAGGAGATAGATAACTAACAAGGGAACAGGCTCTGGCGTACATGGCAATACAATCGAATTGTTTGTACGAGAGAATTTAAGAAGGAAGTACAAAAAACAAACCATCCTAATTCTCTCAGATAACCAAACAGCCTTAAAGGCTCTTGATTCAAACATAATCAAGTCAAAGCTTGTCTGGAACTGCCTTGGAATACTAAATGACCTGGCAACCCACAACAAGGTACAACTATTGTTGGTACTAGGGCACAAAGGTATCCAAGCATGCCGAGATTGAAATAAATATTAAATTTATACTAATACGTCAGCCATCAAATCCTATAACGAACCAAGAAAATAATTGAGTTTGAAATTCACATGGGCTGATGTATAATATTTAATAGAACCGCTTTTATCTTTGTCACTGAATGTCAGTTAGATTCACTGAGCTATCGAGCGGATTATATTCATTATTTATAGAAAGGGTTTAAAAAAAAAATAAAAAAAAAACAAGAAACTTACATTAGCACTTTCTAGTAAGGTCCAGTCGGCATCAGTAAAAAAACGAATAAGATCAGTCTGAAATAACATAGCTTTCACGAATAACGCAATATGGCATCCTAAAGTTGGAAATATAAATATAGTTAGTGATCGTATGTAGCTCTTCGTTTTTCCAATGGTCCTAAAAATATTAGTGATTTTTATAGTATACCATTTGATTCCACAACTTACTTTCTACGAGAAAATAGTTTTGTAGTAGAAGTAAAGGTTAAATGACTAACCTATAAAAAAGTTTCATCTTAATTAGTAATGACGTTTGAAGTAAATCACTCCTATCACCCCTGGTCTACTAATATTACTATTAGTATAGTTAGAATTAGAACTTTCTTACAGGTAAGTCATTTTTTCAAAATAATACCAAGTAAATTACAATTATTACACAATGTGTACTTACAGAAAAGCAGAGATTACCCATATAACTAATAAAATTGCTGCAAAAATTCCAAACCAATAAGGATCTTCAACGACTGATTTTAAAAATGTAGATCTAAAAAATATTAGAATAAATGTAAAAACAGCATTAAATTTATATAATATAGTATAATCCTACCTCAAGCACTGTTGTCCATTTTTTCCGTAATGTGAATAGCCAACCTAAAAATAAATAGGTAAGATTCAAGTATAAAGATAACAGGAATAAACCTTACAATGAATTTGAAAATGGTATAATAGGAATATGCAGATAACAGACAGATGTGGCTGTCAGCCAGTAACGTCACTACATTCTCCTCTGCTTGCCCCATTATAATATGTACTGACATGGATTAAGGCGCGACGAATGACAGCCAGTGTTGCCAGTCTAGTACAATTGTACTAGATCTAGTACATTCTCTGAGAATCTGGTACTCTAATACACTCGAAACAAAATCTAGTACTTTTTTCAGCGTATGTTTCCATTTGAAGTGTAAAATAAATTGGTCAAAAATTGCAAGAGAAATTAAAATAGTTGTTAAAAATTACTTCAGAGATAAAATAGTAGACATTTCTCAAGAGATAAACATTGTCTAAAAATTGCAAGAGAGATTAAATATTGTTCAAAAATGGCTTGAGAGGTAAAAAAGGGTGTTAAAAATTGGTCGAAGAATAAAATAGTATTAGAAATTGCTTGAGTGGTAAAATATTGTTCAAAAATTGCTCTAGGGATAAAAATACTGTTAGAAATTTAATGAGAGATAAAAATATTTAATAATTTTTCGAGAGATTAAATAGTATTATAATTTGTTAAAATCGTGTTCAAAAATTGCCCGAGGTAAAATAGTATTACAAAATGTTAAACCCTTGTTCAAAAATTGCTCGGGGGATAAAATACTATTGAAAAATTTGTTGAAAAATAAAATATTGTTCAAAATTGACTCAAGAGATACCTACTATTAGAAATTTCTCGAGAGATAAAATATGGTTTAAAAATTCCTCGAACGATAAAATACTATTAGAAAATGCTCGAGAGATAAAATATTGTACAAACATTGCTCGAGATATAAAACATTGTCAAAAATTTATCGAGAGTTAAAATATTTTTATAAATTTGTCGAGAGTTAAAATATTGTGCAGTTTGCTAAAGAGATAAAAAAGTTGTTAAAAATTTCTCGAGAGATAAAATAATGTTAGATATTTATTGAAAGATAAAATATTGTTTAAATATAGCTCAAGAGATAAAAAAAAGGTTTAAAAACTGTTCGAGAGATAAAATAGTATCATAAGTTATTAAAATCTTATTAAAAAATTACTCGAGAATTAAAAAATACTATTAAACATTTCACGAGAGATAAAACATTGTTTAAAAATTGTTAGAAAGACAAAAAATGTTAATAAAAATTGCTCGAGAGATAAAATAGTGTTAGAAATTATTAAAATTATGCTCAAAAATTGCACGAGAGATCAAATATTGTTCAAAAATAGCTTGAAAGGTAAAAAAGCTGTTAAAAATTGCTCGAGTGATTAAATAGTGTTAAAAATTGTACAAAAAAATTTGTTCAAACATTTCTCGAGTGATAAAAAAATTGTTAAAAATTGCTCGAGAGATAGAATACTGTTAGAAATTTGTTTAAAATTGTTTAAAAACTGTTCGAGAGATAACATTTTATCAAAAGGTGTTAAATCTTTTTCAAAAATTGCTCAAGAGATAAAATAGTGTTAGAAATTGTAAAAATTTTGCTCAAAAATTGCAGAAGACATCAAATATTGTTCAAAAATAGCTTGAAAGGTAAAAAAGGCTGTTAAAAATTGATCGAGTGATTAAATAGTGTTAAAAATTGTACAAAAATTGCTCGAGAGATAAAAAAAAGTTGTTAAAAATTCCTCGAGAGATAGAATACTGTTAGAAATTTATCGAGAGATAAAATATTTTTTAAAAATAGCTTAAGAGATAAAAAAAAGATTTTTTTAAAAATTGTTCGAGACATAAAATATTATCAAAAGGTATTAAAATATTTTCCAAAAATTGCTCGAGAGATAAAACAGTGTTAGAAATTGATAAAATTTTGCTCAAAAATTGCAAGAGAGATCAAATATTGTTCAAAAATAGCTTGAAAGTTAAAAAAAGGCTGTTAAAAATTGCTCGAGTGATTAAGTAGTGTTAAAAATTGTACAAAAAATATTGTACAAACATTGCTCGAGGTATAAAAAAAAGTTGTTAAAAATTGCTCGAGAGATAGAATACTGTTAGAAATTTATCGAGAGATAAAATATTGTTTTAAAATAGCTCAAGAGATAAAAAAAAGATTAAAAAACTGTACGAGAGATAAAAGAGTATCAAAAGGTATTAAAATCTTATTCAAAAACTGCTCGAGAGATAAAATAGTGTTAGAAATTTGTCGAGAGATAAAATATTGTTAAAAATTGTGGTTTTCGTGTTCTCTATAAACCTTTTTTTGCTCTTTAATGACCATACTTCATAATTAGACAAATCTGATAATTTTATAGAATCTAGTACCTTTTTATGAAATCTGGTACATTTTTTAGATAAATCTGGTACATTACAAAAATATATTCTGGCAACACTGATGACAGCAGTTTCTATCAGGGGGTCAATTCTCGACTTGTAGGAACCTTTTCCTATAGGAATTTGTGACACTTTCCTATATGTAGGAATATGTCATAAATTTTCGATGTATGTAAAAATGTCAAAAATTCCTATAGGAAAATATTCCTACGAGTCGAGAATCGACCCCCTGTTATGTGTATATTCCTATTGTACCTTATTCACAGTATTCCGTTTTGAAATTTCCGTACCTCTATGTCATAATTATTTATAAATTTATTTAAATATAGTAACTGTTGTGTAATTTTTGGGTAATTCTAATAATTTTTTACGCAGCAGAGGCAAAAGAACCTAAAAAGGTTGTTAAATAAAATTTATTGAAGCAATGTTAAAAATAAGCTACGACGTAGTCTCCATTATCTTTTTTGAATGTAAACTTCGTCCTGATTGGACAAAACAACTACAAAAAAGCAGTGGCTTATACAAAGTTTATCTAATGTATTGAATGCCAAAGTTGGTACACTGCGAAACAGCTGTTTTGCTACAACCAATTCGTTTGGGGGGAATTTTTATAAACTTGACACGAAAATAAACTAGATCCATGTAAACTAAACGTCAACTGACAATAAAAGCATTATTCTAAATAAAAATAACATTAATGGGTCGATTCTGAGACAATTTAAAAGATCTGTAATCCAAAATCTGTAAAAAATTAAATTACATTACTATATCTTACAGATCAGGGGCGGCTCGTGACCAAAATGTTGGGGGTTCACAGTAGCAGAATATAGATCCCGGTACAGATATAGGTAAAAAACTGTCAGTGTTTTAGAAAGGTACATTATAAACTTTCTAAAACACTGAACATTTTTTCATACATCTGTACTGATACCTATATTCTGCCTCTGTGAACACCTCCACGAGCCGCCACTGTTACAGATTTTGTATCTTATAACGAATATTTCCCAGAATCCTACCCTAAATCAGAGTTGGATACTGTTAAATTTTCATAAAATCATTGTTTTTATAGTACCCATTTATTATTTAATAATTACCTCTGTAATTTTCACACCTGTAGAGCATTCTTGAAATGGAATTGATCCTTTCCAAATCCATATTATATAATAGAGTGACAAACTCATATAGAGTGGATAATAAATACTTAACATGTATCCAGCTAAAAATTTTACGTATCCAATTCCTGAAAAGAAAACAAATATTTGTTATCAGTCATTTGGAGGAGATAAAGGATTTGTTGATATAGTCTTGTTAGAATTTGTTTCCAATTCTATGAAAAACTACCATGAAGAAATGATTGCTGATGTTTTTGAGGAATATTTCAGTCAAATGATAGATTTATTACCGACCAATTCTGTAATAGCTATGGACAATGCGTTACCATTCAAGATTGAAGGAACCGTTACCTAACACTAAATGGCTAATAACTAGAGCTAGGAATATATGCAAAACGCCATATTTTGCATATGTTGCATATGTTGCATATAATATATATATATATATATATATATATATATATATATTTGTGGTCGATGGTTTATTACGCGAAGAAATGCAAATTGGTCCATATCTAATCGCTTCAAAACAATTAGATAAAACAACTTGACAATAACTCGTTTTATCCAGACAGAATTGTCTTCCTTTTTTCTTCCGGAAGCCGTTCCAATAGAAAAATGTTTATTGCTGTTATCCGATGCTGCCCCGTACATGGTAAAAGCTGCACAACATTTAAAAATGTTTTATGAAAACTTAATCCATGTTACTTGTTTGGCTCATGGCCTTAACAGAGTTGCAGAAGAAATTAGGTCTAACTTTCCTTTAATAAATGATTTAATTAGTAATGTAAAAAAAAATATTTCTTAAAGCTCCTCTAAGAACTCAATTGTACAAAGAAAAATTTCCTGAATTACAGATGCCACCGGAACCTGTGATTACTCGGTGGGGTACCTGGCTTAAAGCTACCTTTTTAACGCAGATAATTATGAAAAAATTAAAGAAATCATATTTGATTTTGATGATTCATCTAAGTGAATATCTAATACAAAGAAGTTGTTTCAAAATCACATATTACCAAAGCAATTAGTGTTTTTAAAAAATTATGCATTTGTACCCAAAATTATATTAGATTTAGAACAAAAAAATTTACCTTTGGTGACTTCCGTAAATTTAATTAAGACGTTTGAATCAGAGTGTAAAAATGTCCAGGGCGATATTCGAAAGACGATTTTTCATAAATTTTCAAATGTAATTTTAAAAAATGAAGGATTTATTGTTTTAAGAAACCTTGCTAATATTTATTCTGGTAACTTTGAAGATATTAATACTATTCATCCAGATATTTTCAGGAAAATTTAAGTTTGCACCTATTACTTCTGTAGATGTCGCAAGGAGTTTTTCTTTGTACAAGTACATACTTACTGATAGGAGACAATCATTTAATACAGATAATTTAGAAAAACATCTAATTGTTCATTCGTTTTATAATAATGTTGATTTGTAAATAAAATTAGTTAATAATTAAATAATTATTAAGTATTATATTAGGTATTGTAAATTAAACAAATAATAAATATTAATAAACTATTTCGATCAAATAACAAATTACTCTTATTGCATATGCTCTGCATATTTTTCAATTTTTTACGCATATATTGAAATATTTTGCGGCATATATATGCGCATATTTAACTACTTTTGGGTGCATATATTCCTAGGTCTACTAATAACCAAAGAAATAGTGGCAGAAGAGGGCTTACTCGAAAAAGAACTATTACAGTTATGTAAACAACATTCACCAAAATTTAAGAAGTATGGTGTAGATGAAATAGCAAAAGAACATGGAGTTAACGTGTTGCGGTTACCACCTTATCACTGTGAACTTAACCCCAGTGAACTAATCTAGGCTTAAATGAAGGAATATTGTGCCATACAAAGGCAAAATAATGTACTCTCAATTTTACCTGAATTGAGGTATTATACCGGTTTTAATCTACAAAGTTCTACAAGTACGTCTTTAAACTATAAATATATCTGCGTCCCAAATGATCTATTGTGCCCCCTTCTGTCGCTAATGCCCCAAGGAAATGTCTCAATGCCTATAACGACCCTTCCAATCCTATTTTCTCAAGGAAGTGTAGGATTTGGAGTGGCTTCAAGTTAGGTAAATCTCCCTCTTCTATTTAATATCCTCCTAGATATAGTGCCCTTGGATTCTGGAGTGCTACACAGTTAGAATGTAAATGGAGGTTTCGTCCTCCTCCTCACAGAATATGCACTCACTAACCTCTACTACTCTCAGTTTATTAAGGTGTCCTTTTAGTCTGCAATGCCCGGTAAGGATCCCTGTTACAATACGTAGTCTGTTCTTGCTCAGGCAGATGCAGTCTTCCGATCTTTTTTGGTTATATTTACCCAAAAGTATCTTAGCCTGTCTTAGCCCCAAGAGATTATTCCAATTATCGGTTCTTCTACTGCAGAACGGCTCAGGTCCTACAACGGGTGTTTGAGCCCCTTTCCTTACAAGACTATCTGCAATCTCGTTACCCTGTACCCCGTTATGTCCAGAGATCTAAGTGAGAGTAACTCTGTTTTTCTCGCCTAGCTCATTCAATTGTTCTAGGCATCTCCAGACCATTTTTGAGCTGATAACGTAAGAGCTCAGCGCTTTGATGACTGCTTGACTATCAGACATGATGATAATCTCTTGTCTATGATAGTTTTTCTCGATGTTAAACTGGATACACTTCTTGATGGCGTGAATTTCCGCCTGGAAGATTCTTGGGCATTTTCCCAAGCTATGGTTTTGGAACCGTCCATATACCACTGAATAGCGCGATGGATTCTTGGCTCCATTCTTTCTTGCAGCCCAGCTCTGTGGTTTTGAAGTTTTTTAATAATGTACCATGCAAATGTACATGTAATACATATAATACATGTAACTGTACTGTACTTTTTAAAAAATCGGATGACAGATCATCGTTTGATTTCGTCAGTTTTCTTGTTAATTCCAGCCGTGATTCCAGTAAAAATTATGTCGTCGCGAGTGATATTAATGTTTAGGATGTCAAACAAAGATGTTACTATGGTATGTATAATGTATATAATGCTAAATATAATGGTATGTATCAGATTCCAGAAATAAAGTGATATGTCTTGAAATTTCAGACTTCAGACTTTATGAAATTTGAGAACGTATGTAAAAGTGCACTGGTTCAGCAAAGTAAAAATCTGTGGGGGACGATGTGCCATTTTTAAAAGATAAAGGTAGAGGAAGTACGATTTATAAAAGACCATTACGAATTTTCATAACTCAGAATATAAAGAAATTGAAAATTTAAATAAACGACAAGTAGAACTAAATATACATAAACTACTTTCTGGAAATTCTGGAAACTTTATATGCTAATAAAGGAAACAATAGAACCAATTATTATTTCTGTGGGGAGTGAGGAAACTGATGATGATGACGACCCCTTATCGGAAGAAAACAACTTATTTAATTAGGTATATAACTATATATTTATATAACCTGTATTTGCTACTTATAACATGTACCAATGACCAAGTCGGGTTCTGTTTATTTTCAAATAAACAAATATGGCCGTCGATAGATTCTTTAAAAATCTAAATAACTCCTCGAAATAAATGTAAGTTTCCTTTATCGCCGTCACACTTCGCACTTTTATTATAAATAAAGCTTTTTACAACACATCTTGGCATTTTCAACGTTAATTTCCAAAATTTAAGTCACTAAAATACCAAATTAATTCTCGTTGACACATTAAATTTGGACGAACAACGCTCTGACATGTAATGTCCTTAACTGTGATTGGTGGGTGTGAATAATTTCGAAGTGGGATTATGCGCATTGTCTTATGTTCCATCTAAGGTTTGTATAATCTAAGACAATCCTGTATATAAACGTTTGCCATAAAAACTGTGCTATCATTTATTTTCAAATAAACTATAGTACCTCCTACTAGTATGTGATTATTTCATTACAAATACTTATCTATACTCTAGGTCAGTGGTCGCCAACCTGTCGATCGCGAGCTACTGGTAGCTCGCGGAGGCAATTCTGGTAGCTCTCACAACGATTTTAATTTAAAAAATACAAACTGCAAAAATCAGAAAAGCTTCCGAAAATTCCACAAAGAAATCTAATTGTCAAATATTAAACATAAACAGCGGCAACGTTGCGGTGAGCGATCTGACGCTGACGCCATCAAGCTAGAATCGGCTAGAACCGACCAGCCGGACCAGCGCGTTAGTGTTCGAGAACGATCAGGATTGCTTTGAACGGGATAAATACGCACGGCGCGGCGACATTGCGCTTAGTTTAAAACTGAACGCGTAACCAACGTCCAGCGGTTGGGTTAGTAGAGAACAACAAAAAATAATATTATGGCAAGCAGTTGTAAGAAGGTAAAGACATACCACTTTCATTCGGAATGGGAAGAACAATACTTTTTTACAGAAGTTAAAGATAAAAATGTGTGTATTATGTGTATGTATTACTTCGGTCTCCGTTGCTAAAAAAGGAAATATTGAGAGACATCATAAAACTGTACATTCTAATTTTGAAAAATGATTCCCACTACATTCTGCCGCCAGAAAGGAGAAACTGAAACAGTTAAAAAACAGTTAATTGGACAACAATCATTATTTTTAAGAACAGTCGACAAAAATAAGGCTGCAACTGAAGCATCGTACCGTGTGTCCCAGATAATTGCACAAAAAAAGAAACCTTATGAAGACGCAGAAATGATAAAACAGGCGTTTTTAGAAGCTGCTGATTCGTTATTTGCCAACTTTAGAAATAAAGACGAGAGTTTCAGCTATAAAATCTATGCAACTTTCTGCTAATACAGTGATGAGACGTGTAGAAGTAATGAGCAATGTGTTTATTTTTCACTTCAACTGGATGAATCAACAGATGTCGTTGACACTGCCCAGATGGCCGTGTTCGTCAGGATGGTTTTTAGTGTTTTACGATTAAAGAAGATCTTTTGAAGTTTATTCCACTGAAAGGACACACTACTGGATAGGAGTTGTTTTCTCATTTAAAAAATATTATTTCTTCCGAGAAAATTCCAATATCGAAAATGGTAGGCTTGACAACCGATGGCGCTTCAGCTATGGTGGGTTGTGATAAGGGTCTGGTGGCGTTATGTCGTAAAGATGAAACTTTTCTGCAATTTCTCTGTTACCACTGCATTATCCATCAGCAAACATTAAGTGGAAATTTCCTGAAATTAAACAACGTTATGAAAGTGGTGGTAAAAATTGTGAACAAGATTAGAGCTCAAGCGTTACAAAGAAGATTATTCAAAACCTTGGCCGATGAAGTTGACTGTCAACACCTACTCCTTCACTCTGAAGTCCGATGGATAAATAGAGGACGGGTGCTGAAACGTTTGAATGATGTCCTATCTGGCATAGTTCAATTTTTCAAACAACGCGATGAACCGACTCCAGAATTAGAAAATTCAATCTGGCTTAGAGATTTTGGTTTTCTCGTGGATATTACAGAGAAATTAAACGAACTTAATTTGCAGCTTCAGGGGAGAGACAAAGAACTAGCGGAAATGATTTCTGATATAAAAGCATTTATCAAAAAGCTGGAGTTTTGGGAACAAAACCTAATTAACAGCGATGCCAAGCATTTTCCTATTATTTCAGAAAAAATATCTCAAAATCCATTAGAACCCTATGACAGCAAATATCATGTAGAAATAGTTTCTACCCTGAAGAATAACTTCAAAAATCGTTTTAAGGATTTCAACGAAATGGCTTTAGTAGCGCAGTTTGTTGTTTCACCCTTTATGGAAATTGATATCCAACAGTTTGAAACTTGTGTTATGCAGAACTTTGGCGAAGACATCGCTGCAACAGAAATGAAAGTAATTGAGGTTCAAAATGATTTAGCCTTAAAATCGTTAGTCTCAAGTACCAAATGTATCTGGCCTATTGTAAGTAAAGACAAATATTCACTTGAAAGTGAAAGCATTATTCAGTTCAACCTATTTGTGTGAATCTTCTTCTTCCAATATGAAGTTTATTAAGAACAAATATCGCAATCGACTTTGGATAATTGTATTAAAATTATACTGCAAACATTAAAAAAATTATCGATGAGTCTGAGTGTCAGCCTTCTCATTGAACGTGCTTTTTTATTTTTCAATGTTTATGTTCATAATAGTGCGTTACTTGTTTGTTGTTATTATTAACTATTTTTAAATCTTACGTGACATGCCGTTGTGGCTGGATAAAAGTTTGTGTTTATTTTTCAAACACCTTCGTTTGGTAGGTAGGAATGTAGCTATGAACAAATACGTACTAGTAATATTAGTTATTTTGTCATTAGTTTATTATTAGTACAGTTCATCAAATTTCTAGAGGTGTTCGACGCCCAGACAGAGAACGCGCTACGTGTGACTAAGATAGCTATTGTACAGTCTGCTAAACAAGTTATTTTAAATAGTTTTTAATATTTTTAGGTAATTAAATTTTAAAAGTGTGGAATAGTTTAGGGATTAAATTGGTCTGATTGGACTTTCTTAGAACGTTTTTAAAAGCAGCTAAAGATAGTATGTAGAATTGAAAATAATTATTATGCCATAAAAGGTGTTTTGGAATTCCTTCAACCTTTTGAAATTGAGTCAGGAAATATAAATTTTATAGGATAGCGGAAAATACCTATAATTTTTTTGTAGGCCTTTGTAAATCGTGGAAATAGTTTATATTTTATTTCTACCTTATTAAGGAAAGTGGTACCTATTATTAATAACGGTTGTTTCTGAAACATTACTAAAATTTTCGAAATTTTATTTTTCTACAAAATAATAAACTATACTATTTAGAAAAAAATTTATTTCTCTTATAATTTTATAAAAAATAACAGGGGAATATTTACATTTCTTGATTTATTAAACAAAACGATAAATTATCTCGACGAATGACACCATGTTCTAGTACGGAAGCTAGCTTTACATTTTTGTTGGTTTCATATCAATTTTTTGTAATTGTAGTTTACACGTACATATACCTCTTAACACTTGTTTGCTTTATTAAAAAAGTGTGTTGTTGTGATTTACGTCGAAATAAGTCAAAAACAACTTGAAACCCCATATAAAATCAAAAAGGAGAAACGGAAAAAAATTTAGCCTGTAAATGAACACAACTCAGAAACAAAAATAGCTATCTAATAATAAAAAAAATAAAATTTGATTCTTGTGCAGCTTCATCTATATCATTAACTGGTTTTGGTTTTTTAATGGTTTTTCTTGGTGATGAAAATTCCGATATCTCACGGTTATCGATTCTTTTTCTCTCTCCAGAAATGCGGACGACAGTGTTTTTAGATACTCCTGTGGCTGCAGCAACACGATCATTTACATTTTTAAATGGTATTGAAGGTGAATTAAAGTTTCCTTCTCTTCTCATAAACTCTATAACATTGGCTATTATTTCGCGAGATTGACTGTTAATCACGCGGCCTCTTAATTTGCTATTAAACTCCATACTTAGGTTCTATTAAACTGTAATGAGCAAAAAACACAAACGAAAATAAAAGAAATGTTTTAGCGAAATTTACATCTGACATTTACGTCTGAATGAAATAGTGAAATACTTGATGCGCAGAGTGTACTTTCATTGTGTAGATCCGTCGGGATGCCTGTCAGTAGTGCTTTCTCTGTCTAGCCGTCGAACGCCTCTAGAAATTTGATGAACTGTACCTATATATAGTAAAATAAATACATATAATGATAAATTAACTGTGGATTATTTCATTTACGTTGCGTTACGTGGCTTCCGTGTGGGTAGCTCGCTGTTTATTCCAAAATTAACAAAGTAGCTCAACACATTGAGAGGTTGGCGACCACTGCTCTAGGTACATTCTCTGCTATTTATAAAATTAGATAGCTGATTAAAATTTACCGAAAGTATTTATCTATATCCCTACAATAAACAACAAAAAAACAATAAAATATTTTATTTTAAACAATTGAGTCACAGATTATCAGTTCATCATCTTGATCATCGTAATCATATCTAATTCTCATCGCTATTTCGTCACGATTTTTTTTTATCTATGGGCTTTACGAATAAAAGATAAGTCTATTGATATGAAAGAATGAAGAAGTTAACCTTGAAACATTCACACGAGGAATTACCGCATTATTGCACTCCTCAATTATTTTACCTAAGAGCAACAACACGATAATACAGGGCGATCAAGTATTTTTTTTAAAACTTAGGTGTATCTCAATATTATTTTACGTAAGTAGCCCAATATGAACGAAGTCGAAAATTTACGATAGAAACCACGTAGCGTGTTACTTACTATAGTTTTCCTGCGACCTTCATTTCTAATTAAATTAAAGAAATTAATGTTCCTATTTATTTTTTAATTATATTTCAAAATAAGCATCAGTAAGTCTTCAGAACTTTATATATTATAATAAAAATGTTTGCTTACCTCTAAAAAATGGAATAATTCTCCAAGACTTAATAAAACCTTCTTGCGCCATCTGACCAATTCCTAATTCCAAAAACAGGAGCGGCAATCCGATAAATATGGTTAATATTAAATGTGCTATTAAAAATGGTAGGCCACCGCGTATCATGGTGGTTTGAGGTAATCTGTACAAATTTCCTAATCCTAACGCCATGGACATAGTACATAGTGCTGTCGATATGTAATACAAGACAGTTTGGCACGACTGAAAAAGAAAATACATATTAAAAATTACTTAAATTAAATATTTTACGTTTATAAAAAAGTTACTTTTTTGCTTATTAGTGTGTATAAAAACTGTAATTGTTTAACAATAAAACAAGTGACATTAGATTCGTTAAAGTGAGATAAAGTATCTTTTTTTAAAACTAGTTCTGTTTCCACTAGGTAAGCGCCAATAATTCCCGGCCTGACAATGAAGGAGGCAAAGTACAACAACAAGTTTTTATTATTTTTCAATGTAAGCTCCCTTAACCTCAATGCACTTCTTACAACGTTTAATTAACAATTCAATCCCTTTAAAAAAATATTCTTTCGGTTTATTCTCAAAATCGTCCCGAAAACGTCGCCCGCGAAAGTCCTTTTTCAAATAACTAAACAAATAATAATCGCTGGGAGCCATATCTGGACTATAAGGAGGGTGATCTATATTTTGAAACCCGCAATCTAGAATGGCAGCTTGTGTAACGCCAGCAGTATGAACGGGCGCATTATTGTCGTGCAACAACCGCACGCCTCTGGTTAATTTTCCTCGACGTTTTCCCCGAATACATTCCCGCAACTTATGAAGTAATGCGGCATAATATGTGCCATTAACGGTGGTATTTGTCTCTTTAAAATCAATCAGAAGGATTCCTTCACAATCCCAAAAGATCCTAGCCATCATCTTTTTCATTGATTGGCAGACTCTAAATTTTCGTGGGGGGCTTCACCCTTACGACACCACTCCATTGATTCCCTTTTCGACAGAGGATCATAATAAAGAACCATAGTTTCTTCTCCAGTGACTATTGTTTCCAACACGGGGTTCGGATCATCTCCACACAGTTCCAAAAACGATCGAGCACACTCGACACGACGTTCCTTCTGAATCGCCGAAAGGTGTTTGGGCACCCATCTTCCACTAACCTTATGCATACCCAAATGATCATGGAGGATTCGGCGAACAGTGGTATCAGAAAGTTTGCTCATTTCTGCCATTTCCTTGACCTTCAAACGTCGGTCACTTAGCACCAGGTTTTTCACAAGGGTCACTTTGTCCTCCGTTATCACCTCCACTGGCCGTCCAGGTCTTTCGTCATCTTCAAGGGATTCCTGACACATGCGAAAACGTTTTGCCCATTCCTTCACTACCGAATAGGAAGGGGAACTTTGGCCATATACGCCATCGAGTCTTTCTTTCATAATTTTAGGTGTAAGCCCTTCTTTTGTTAAAAATTTAATAACCGCTCTGTACTCAATTTTCGTCACCTAAGACATTTTCGGAGATACTTTAGTTCAAAATGCTGACAATTAAAAACTATTTGACGTAAGTTGCTTATTTTGTTACCACAGCCTACTAAAGTTTGTAGTTATAAAATGTTTAACTTTTATTCTGATAAAATATCTGCTACTATGTCAGGCCGGGAATTATTGGCGCTTACCTCATACCAACTAAATATAGAAACTACAAATACTTCCTGCAAGTTATTTTATTATTTTAGCCTATTACTCATCAGTGCGTAATTGATCGATAGCTGTTTTATTATTAAAGATACGAAGACATTTTTAAGTAGTACGATTATATTTTAAAATTATTCCTAAGTACAGTTCATCAAATTTCTAGAGGTGTTCGACGCCCAGACAGAGAACGCGCTACGTGTGACTAAGATAGCTATTGTACAGTCTGCTAAACAAGTTATTTTAAATAGTTTTTAATATTTTTAGGTAATTAAATTTTAAAAGTGTGGAATAGTTTAGGGATTAAATTGGTCTGATTGGACTTTCTTAGAACGTTTTTAAAAGCAGCTAAAGATAGTATGTAGAATTGAAAATAATTATTATGCCATAAAAGGTGTTTTGGAATTCCTTCAACCTTTTGAAATTGAGTCAGAAAATATAAATTTTATAGGATAGCGGAAAATACCTATAATTTTTTTGTAGGCCTTTGTAAATCGTGGAAATAGTTTATATTTTATTTCTACCTTATTAAGGAAAATGGTACCTATTATTAATAACGGTTGTTTCTGAAACATTACTAAAATTTTCGAAATTTTGTTTTTCTACAAAATAATAAACTATACTATTTAGAAAAAAATTTATTTCTCTTATAATTTTATAAAAAATAACAGGGGAATATTTACATTTCTTGATCTATTAAACAAAACGATAAATTATCTCGGCGAATGACACCATGTTCTAGTACGGAAGCTAGCTTTACATTTTTGTTGGTGGTTTCATGGGTTTCATATCAATTTTTTGTAATTGTAGTTTACACGTACATATACCTCTTAACACTTGTTTGCTTTATTAAAAAAGTGTGTTGTTGTGATTTACGTCGAAATAAGTCAAAAACAACTTGAAATTCCATATAAAATCAAAAAGGAGAAACGGAAAAAAATTGAGCCTGTAAATGAACACAACTCAGAAACAAAAATAGCTATCTAATAATAAAAAAATAAAATTTGATTCTTGTGCAGCTTCATCTATATCATTAACTGTTTTTGGTTTTTTAATGGTTTTTCTTGGTGATGAAAATTCCGATATCTCACGGTTATCGATTCTTTTTTTCTCTCCAGAAATGCGGACGCCAGTGTTTTTAGATACTCCTGTGGCTGCAGCAACACGATCATTTACATTTTTAAAAGGTATTGAAGGTGAATTAAAGTTTCCTTCGCTTCTCATAAACTCTATAACATTGGCTATTATTTCGCGAGATTGACTGTTAATCACGCGGCCTCTTAATTTGCTATTAAACTCCATACTTAGGTTCTATTAAACTGTAATGAGCAAAAAACACAAACGAAAATAAAAGAAATTTTTAGCGAAATTTACATCTGACATTTACGTCTGAATGAAATAGTGAAATACTTGATGCGCAGAGTGTACTTTCATTGCGTAAATCCGTCGGGATGCCTGTCAGTAGTGCTTTCTCTGTCTAGCCGTCGAAAGCCTCTAGAAATTTGATGAACTGTATACAGAAAAGTTCATAAATGAGTGATGGAAAAACTTATACTGTTTTAAAATAAAACCCCCATGTATAACAAATTTATTTGTTTTCACATCGTCAAACAATTTTAATAGATTTAGCGTTTCTAAAAATGTTTTGACTTTCCATTCATTTTCTACGTTGTATATAGAGTGTGTCAAAACGCAAGATTACGATTTTCTTATTTTTTTTTTTTTTAATGAAATGCCCTGTATGTTACACCGTCAGCCAGTGGCCCAGTAATATGCTTCTTTGATATCAGTACTTGACATCCTATAGAGGTCTATATTATTTTCTCTTTTAGTCTTAGCTTGTGTCCGTTTTCATAATCACCCTGTATATATAATAGCTATTCCCCAGAATAAATTTTTTAAATTTTGTAGGTGTATGGCCCTTGACGTTAATGAACGTCCAAACTTCTAAAAGTTCGTATACCAATGGGCCAGAGCGTGTAGTTGGCATTAAAGCTTGGGCAGCAAAAGCGCTAAATCACAAAAATTAGAAAGAAAATTTCACACCTCTATATCATAGACGATCAAATGCTATTTTCATGACTTAAATCATATTTATTTATAATAATAATAATTATAATCAACCTGTATAATTACTTATCTAATTGTAAACTGATTGCTCGTAATAATTGTCTAAAATATATAGGGTGGCCCAATTAAAACAGTCCACCTGAAATATTTTCCTAAAAGTTTTTTTTGGCAAATACAAAGAAATAAAAAAAATCATAAATCAAAAACGAAGTGATATCAACATAAAAGTTTTAGTAAAAAAAAAGCTCTATAAGAAAATGAGGCCTATTGATTCAGAAAAAAACTGAACAAATGGGGGAGTTAAGGATGGGGGGGGGAGGGTTAAAATATAAAAAAATCCTAACTCAAAAACGAAAACTGATTTTAACTTGAAATTCGAGAGACGCTAAAATGGTGGTTCCTACCTTATCGAGGCTGAGGCCCACAAGGGTAAACTCGTAGCGTAACAAAAACGAGAAATGATTTAACTTGGAACGAAAGACCGAAAGCCCCATAGGAAGGGCCTCAGTAATTTTTACCAAAAATCAAGTTAAGGAAGATTGAAATAAAAAAAAAAACAAATCAATGACACATACAAAACAAAAACAAATCAAAAACAAGAAGCGATATATTTTTAGTAAAAATCAAGCTCCATAAGAAGATTTATTCTAAAAAAAATGAAAAATAAATAAAAAAAAATGAAAAAAATAAAAAAAAAATAAATAAAAATGGGGGATTAAAGAAAGTTAAAATATTTAAACAAAATCTAACTCAAAAACGAACAAAGCCTATTAATTAAAAAAAAATCTGAATAATAAAATGAGGGTCAAGGGGGTTGAAATAAAAAAAAATAGAAATCAAAAACCAAACGCGATATCATCAATATAAAATGTTCATTAAAAATCAAGCTCTCCAAGAGAATGAATAAATAATTAAATAAATAAAAATTCGGAAACTCGAAAACAAAAAACAATATTAAACTCAACTATCGAGCAGTGGGGTGAACAACCCCTAGAATTTAAATAGGGAAAGTACTAAGTGTGACACATTTTTGAAAAGGTAATTTTATAAGAAATTCAGTAATACCAGTATTGTTGTGTCAAATTTCGATTTTAGCGCCCTCTTGAGGGTGAAAATAAGGCATCTAGCCTCTCCTGTTTTCCTGAAATTTAATGCACCAATGCTCAAACACGTTGATTTTTGTTTATAAAGAGACACATTTAAAGCATATTTTTTAATAATAATAATAATAATAATAATAATAATAATAATAATAATAATAATAATAATAATAATAATAATAATAATAATAATAATAATAATAATAATAATAATAATAATAATAATAATAATAATAATAATAATAATAATAATAATAATAATAATAATAATAATAATAATAATAATAATAATAATAATAATAATAAAATTAACCCAGCCATAATAAACTTTTTAGAACATATAATGACCAACTGGTCAACGGAGTTGCATTTATCA